GACTTCCCCAACACCCCAATACCTTTCTCCACCTTTGTTGAAGATCCTTTGACTGTGATACATGGGTTTACATCTGAGCTCAGTTTGTCCCAAGTTCCGCCTTCATGGCAATGCCAAGCTGTTTTTGGCTACAATAGCCTTGTAGCACTTATGGAAACAGGCAGAACATTACCTCCTACTTCATTCTTTTTGCTCACGATTGCTTTGTCTTGATGGGATTTTTGAAGGTATAAGTCATCCATAATTTAGCCAGCCTTTATGATGGTTGGTCAGCAAGAAAAGCTTCAGTCTTCATGAAAGCTAGTCAACTTTGTCTTCTGATATCTCATTTTAGGGTGACAGAACTACCAAGTTGACAATGCTGCCTTTCTGCATATGTGTCATCTGCCAGGTCAGAGGCTCTCACTGTTTATCACAATGATGATTCTCCCTGGACCTGGACTGGGGTAACTCTTAAACTAGTGTTTTTAAGTTAGCATACATGTTTGTCCTTAACAGGTTGCAGACCAGTGGTTCTCAATTTTCCTAATGCTATGACCCTTTAACACAGTTCCTCATTGTTGTGGTGACCCCCCATCATAAAAATTTCACTGCTACTTCACTGTAGTTTTGCTACTGTTATGAGTATAAATGTAAATGCCTGTTTTCTGACAGTCTTAGGTGACCCCTGTGAAAGGGTCATTTGACCCCAAAGCAGGTCACAACTCACAGGTTGAGAACCACTGCACCCGACAGAGTCAGCTAGGAGTCAGGCTCTTCTGCACAACTATAAGAGATTATTTAGTCTCTAGGTATACATACGAGCGCTTGTGCTGGTTGGATTAATTGGAGCAGGAAGACCCACATTCAAAGTGGCAGCTCTTGGGTTTTGCACTACATAGAAAGAAGAAAGCTGGAGGAATACAGGCATCACTGTGGCCAGCTGCCTCAAGCACCTGCTGCAGGAGCTTCCCTGCCATCACCTACAGTCCCAGAACAGAACTGGGAACCAAAATTAGTCCCACCTATGTCAGAGCATTTTATCACAGCAACTGGAATGTGCTAAGACAGTGTGCAAAGTGGAGTCATGCTTTCCAATCACTTTCTAATCAGTGGATTTTCAACACTTAAAATTTTTAATTGACAAATCATTGTTGTATCTGGTCCCAGTGCAGAGAACTGGTTCAGGACCTCCTGGATATAGATCCCTTATATAAAAACGGCATAGCATTTGCCTAAAATTTATGCCCAACTGCAAAAACTTGGTATCATCTTTTAAAAAATAATTTATTTGTATGTGTGTCTGTGCACTAGGTGCATGCCTGATGTCCAGAGGCTACCAGAAGGCATCAGGTCCCCTGGAACTGGAGTTACAGATGGCTGTGAGCCACCATGTAGATGTTGGGAATGGAACCAGGTCCTCTGGAAGAGCAGTGAGTGCTCTTAACCACTGAGCTACCTCTCCAGGCTCCAGTAATAGATCTCTACATTACCTAACACAGGAAAAAGCTAAATAAGTGATTGTTATCCTGTATTGTTTGGGGAGTGACATGGAAAAAGCCTTCCCTGTGATTAGGTACTTGAGGGCAATACTCCACACTCCTAGGGAACCCACCCTGTAAAGAGAAGCCTTTTCCTTGCCAGCAGCTTTGGTTTACCCCCCCCGCCAGTCTCCTGGGCTCTGCTACGTTGTAGTCCCCAAATAACACACAAGACGCTGTATTAATCATGAAGCTGTTGGCCTTGCTTGTTTCTTACTAGCTAGCTCTGACTTAAGTAATTACCCCATAATTGTTAATCTAAGTATTTCTCTTACCGGAGAAGTTTCCAGGCTTCTTATCCCTATGGTAGTTACATCTTGACTTCCTGTGTTTCTCCTACCCAGAGTCCTCTTGGACTTCTAGTCCCACCTATCTTTCTTCCCTATTGGCCAACAGTGCTTTATTGACATATACACAGGACTTTGCCCATCACCACCCCAAACCCGCCCGCCCTTATGTCAATCCAAACTCAGAGCTTGGCATGTATGTTCCACACACCCAATTAACAATTCTTATGCTCATTAAAATGCCATTTTCACAATGTAAATGTCAAATTATAAAATATGCATGTGACTAAAATGTCAATCTTACCTGCTTTCTTTCCATAGGCTTTCATAAACTATGAGTTATGGAAAAAGATTCCATTTGCTGAATAGGTTTAGATAGCAACAAAGCTGAAGCCGCCCAGCTTTGGAAATGCGCTTGAGGTAGGCCACACATGCGTAGAGCTGTGAGTATACACCAACAGCCTCTGCTGGGCTGCTTCAGTCGGCTGCTGCAAATAATATACACCCCTCCCCTGCATTTTGCTTGCTTTTTAATTTCTTATTTTTAAATAGCCTTCAGGATGGAGGCAGTTGTCTTGGGAATCCTTCAAAGGCAGTCAAATAAGGCAGTAAGTGAAACAGGCAGTCTCTCTCTATATGCAGTAACTGACAAGATTTTGATAAAATGTCTCCAATTTCAGGCCTCCTCTCCAGGATGCAGATGGTTCTGTGTCAGCAAATTAATGTCTACTAGTCACCCAGGTCTCTAAACTCGGGGGCATCTCATTTACTTACAAATTGAAATTAAAACTTTTCTGTATTCTCATCCATTCCCGTTAAAATAGCTTCATCTTTAAAGCTGTTTTTCAGACAGGGTCTCATGTAGCCCAGGCTGGTCTTGAACTCATTATGTAGCCAGGAATAACCCTGGACTTCTGATCCTCCTGCCTCTACCTCTACTTCCCAAGTTCTAGGATTACAGGGACGTACTTCCATGCCTACTTTTATGCAGTGTGGGGGTAGAGGGGGTGGGGTGGGGGGTGGGAAGGGAATGGAAGCCAGGGCTTCCTGCATGCTAGGCAAGCACTGTACCAAATGCATCCTCCCCAGATTCTCAAAAGCAACAACCACGAGCCAGTGCTGCTTTCAAATCCCCACATACTGTGTTCAATAGGGAAGCCAGGAAGTTCAAATGCAGCCTCAGGAAAACAGCAAGCACAATGCTGTCACCTATGATAATCTGTTACCTCCCGAGTCTTCTCTGTACTTCCATGTATAACTGCGATCATCTTGACTCGTGTTACACAGACTTATTTCCACATCACACTCATTCCCCCTACACCATCACACTTCATCATGTCACTTAACTAATTCATTCACATGCTGGGTACTGAAGGATGGACAATGGATGGATGGACCTGTCGAAAGAATTAACACAGGCTCTCCAACACGCATCACTTTTACTTTTGAATTCTGGTGCACATGCAGCCTAAGTGGGTCTTGAAAACGTGGCAACACAAAATCTAAGACATTAAACAAAACCCTTCCATTTCCTCTGTTGAGCAACTCACATCAACTGTCAACAGCTTACTGGGAAGGAAAGAAACAAAGTCCTTGTAACTACTCAAGGTGTACAAAAAATAACCTGTAGCCATGAACTACGTAATCACTAATCTATCTTATTACAACAGTTTCAAGCAGAGGCACAAACCATGGGAAGACTCACACATGCAACTGATATCCCATTCTGAGATGAATTTCAAAGACACCTTTAGGAAAAATGGTCAAAAGGCAATGACAAGTAACAAAAATATTCTTTAACAGAAATTTCACACAGCCAGTAACAAAAGATGTAAAAGTTTATACAATTCATAAAAGGACCCCAAATCTATGATGTTCCAACTCAAAGAGTAACCAAAGAAATCTAAAACAAAAAGAGGTATAATTTTTGTCTCAAGACTGGGCTGAGCTTTAAAAGAAGCAAATAAAGATGTCTTCCTGAGTTTAGGAGCTCATTTAACAAATACAGTGTTCTCGGAAGACTTGATGTTAAAATAGGAATTGCAGTCTCACTTAAGATCATGTATAACTTATGGTTCTGAAACTAATGGAAATTTTCAATAAAACCACCAAACTCCACTAGAAAAGTCAAAGGACCAATTAGGACCAACAGCTGTAAACCACGTGACAGCGAGAGGCTTACAACTTGGTCACTGTGTTAGAGGATGGAAGGTTTTATTCTCCTCAAACATTAGAGGGAAAGTCTACATTTTTCTTTAGATTTCCTCTTCAGCCCTCTCAAAGGTAAGTGAACATATAGTGCCAGTGTGATACACTGTGAATGCATTAAGAAATAAACTTTGGCTAGAGGTGGTGAGCGATGGTGGAAGACTTGTCTACCTAGTGTGAGAGGCTCTAAGTTCAATTCCAGAACTACAAAAACCAGCAAGATCATAAAAGTTTTGCCCAAGAGTCAAAGGGCTGCAGATCGTGGCATGCCAGTTGGTCTTGTGTTGCCTGTCATTTTACTGGTGGATATCCAGTCTTCCTAGCATCGTTCTTGAAGAGGCTGTCTTTATCCAGCTTGCTTTGATACCTCCTCTGATCACTGCAGCTGTGTGGGGTGTTTTGGATCCACCATACCATTCTTGGATAGAGGTCTATTCATCAAGGAAAGAGTTTCAGACATGTAACCTAGCAGGGAATCCTGTGACCACTGCCGTAGTCCCAAATCCTAGCCCTGTTCCTCAGACCACCCCATGATCTCACTTCCTAAACCAGGAATGCTCTGAACACTGTAGCTTCAGAAGCCACCACACCCCATACACTTGGGAGTTCACTGTCCTTTCCCTAAAAACCTTTATCTCTTACCCTTGCATAAATCTGTTACAATTCATTGGGAGGGGGTGGCAAACTAGTTTTATTCATGTTTCCTTACACAGAGTTTGGTATTTTCAACTTTGTTGAAAACTTTCAGCTTTCATTTGAATTAAAACATAAATGGTAACTTAGAACCCCTGTGGCTTGTGTCATCAATAAGACAAAGATATACAATACCAGTTTGGAGTGGTGGCACCTGCCTTTATTCCCAGCACTCAGGAGGCAGAGGTAGGCAGATCCTATGTGATTGGAGACCAGCCTGGTCTATACAGTGAGTTTCAGAACAGCCACAGCTACACAGTGAGACCCCGTCTCGAAACAAAACAACATCTAGTACCATAGAAAACACGTATCATTTATTTCATGGACTTAGAAATCAACACAAATCAATGTCAGGCACTTCTTAAGTACACACTATGAGAAATGTTTACTACCAAAGATCCGCACATTGAGCAGGCAACGCCAAAAGACTCATTCTTCCATTTTAGGAACAGTACAGAGTTAGAGAATTGAAAAAGATAAATATTGCATAATTAGCCCAATTGTATCCTGTTACATTTCTTCCCATTTTCAAACAATTTTAAGGTTAAATACAAGTACTCACTTCTTAAGCATCCAAAGTACTAAATCTTGCTCTTTCCCTTACTCCACTATCACGGTCTTAATCAACTGCACCTGCCTTGAGGGACATGGCACACAAGTTTTATTTTAAGTAGCATCCTTAATTCTACAGAAACACATGGTGGTTGATTGCTGGCTGATTTTCTTCCTTTCTTTTTAACAGTCTTTTGCTAGGCAGTCTTAGTGACTGATACTATTTAGCCCAGGTTGACCTTGTACTTCCAGCAATTCTCCTGTCTCTCGTCCTTAATGCTGGAATTACACTTACACCACCACATATTGCTTATTTTGAGGTCTTTTAAAGCTTGTTTCAATAAGCTTACTTTGTAATACTAAGTCTCAAATTACAAATTCCTTTAGACATTTAATGCTCATCTTTTCTACTTAAGCAAACATGAAAAAATGGAATGTGGGAAATCATTTTAGGCTGTCTTCAAGTGCAGCTGTATACAGTTTTGTTTTGTCATCCTTTTCCATCTTAATGCTGGATGAAATGGTATTCTCCAGAACATCACTATTCTTGTTTATATGAGGAAAATGTGAATGTAACAATGGCCTTTGGTCCTAACTCATGTAGCTCAAGGACCTGAAATAGTCTATGTAGTTTTGTCTTGCTGAATCTAGTTGTCAGCGTAAGAATAGTAAGTAGGATTAAGGTGCTAAGAACAGTATATAACAGGATTCTTCTACTGGTATCTATAAACCACAATCTGAATCTAATCTCCTGATAAGACTCAGAATCTCTGGTGAGAGGTCTCTGGTGCAGAGGTCCAGAGCAGTGAGTCAAGTGGGTGGAGAGACAGAATCAAAGTGGTTTCTGAAAACCTTGGGGTCTGAGAATAATGGTTAGGGGCAAAGTTTAGAATAGCTTTAGATGAAAAAGAGCAACCTTCATTGGTGGTGAGCAAACATCCAAAACAGCAAGGGCAAGCTGAGCTATGGAAGCAGTCAAACCCTCTACTGTGCCTTGAAAATGAGAATGGTACCAGGATACCAAGGGCAATTAGAAAATCCCAAAGTTCACATATGATCTAGGATGTGCTGTAATCCCCTATTGACAAAGTAGAACAGACTATAGATGCATTCCCAAAAATGCCTGCAGAGGAAACTAGACAGCTGTCTATGATTTTTCTATTTACACTAATATAAACAGATTTTTGAGGTTGTCTGTACTGTATGTGATTGCTGTACTTACAGCAAGAAATATAAAGTGCCTGTAAGAGAGGACCAACACCATCCCTCTTCTGGGCATCCTAATACTATACACTCAGACAAAAGGAAAAGACACCTTAGGGACCTCTTGCCTGTCCTCAAGCTCCCCCACTTCCTGTGACTACCTAACGAGGCACTTCTTCAAGGCCAGGAAACAAACCCTTATTCCTTCTATGTCATGCCACACTATGTAAGACTAGGTTCACCACCTGCATTCAAAATACCAACCAGCAGTGCTAATGCACCTTTTTATTCTTAAGGCAAAATGTCACAAGAAAAGGAATTCTCATTCCCCACTGCCCAGCCCACTTGCCTTCTCTGTATCTACTATGATGGCCAAGGTGTGCTAGAAATATAAAGGAAACTGAATTTTTAAAATAAAACTCTCAATATAATGGGAAACATACATTTTATAAATGTTATGACAAAATCAAATATATTCAAATGATTTATCTTATGGCTACTTTTACCAAGATATCAAGAGAAGTTAAACAACTTTCAAAATTAGTATCAAAACAGGACACACGTACAGAGGTATAAATCTTTGTTCTTTTCAGAGCTGAGCACAGTGAGGTTAAATGAGATGCTTGTTTATACCCAGAAGTCGCATATTAACATCTGAAACCAAGGATTAGCTGAGTTCTGCCCCATGGCATGTAAACTGCCAGCGTGACATCAAGGGGCACTCTGCCATATCTAGGCCTAATACTGTTTGACAGTTTTGGTATTTTCATATATTAAATCTTTTTACTAGGTCATAATTTTGGTTTTATGTACAAGTACACAGGTATCATATTGTTTTTTGATGCTTAGCGTGAAAGGATTTAAAAAAACCAAAAACTTTATATTTTGTAAAAGTGGTAAAGTTTCATGCTTTCTTATGACATCAGTAACTGACCATACTATGCCAACCTTAACAATGGAGTTAATGCTTTAAACATCCAATTAAGAATAAATTCTAGCTAATACCTTGGCAACACCATAATGTGCTGGTATGTGTTTAACTGATGTAACAGTGATCCAAGCAACTATGCACATGATTATTCAAATTAAAAAACACAAAGTTGAAAAGCTGTAGGTCTGGGCGCAGGAGAGGTGGGTGGGGCTGCATTGCAGGCTCTTTTTCTCTGAGAAAACTAGACAGTAGATTTGAGTCTTTAAAGGGATTTTTAAATATACAATCGGAAAATTCTCATTGTGATTTGAAAAAGTATGAGAACTATGTATGGCCAGAACTTAGCATTACAAGGCCCAGTGATCGAGGGCTGATTTTCTAAGAGGAAACATTAAATGCTGAGAGTGAGCTAGGAGCTTCAGAGCATATCTGAAACACAAAACACCCTGCTAACGCTCATCTGCACCTGATGGCTTTAGACATCAAGTGTTGCCGATTTTACTGATTTTTCAAAGTTTCATCAAGGCTTATAATGTGGACTTCTATCTCTTACATCTTTTTTTTTCTCTTCAATATCCTAAATCTTGACAGTTTTGACTAACCTTCAAATTTCCAGGGCACAAAAGGCATACAGAGTCACCAAGAATATGTTAAAACAAAGATAATTTTGTTTTTGTTTTGACAGAAATACCTTAAACTTTTAGATAAATTAAAAAAATGAACAAATATAAAGGTGTTTGGGGTCAAATTTCTTCTATTACAAATAACGGAACATGTCAAATTTTCAATCAAATTCTTGAAAGCATTCAGAGTATTTGGATTTCCTACCCATGAAACAAGGCATTTTATTTATGCAGAAGAACATGTAAGAAAACCTACAGAAACAAACCTGCAAATTGAGAAATCATCGATGTTAATTGGAACTGTGCCTTATGTTTACTGTCAAATTCATTTCAGCTGTTTGTCATATAATTTAATGCTGAAAAAGGCTGCAGCTAAAAATTAAATACTGCTATTTATAGAATGTTACCTTTGGATAGATATATTTCACACCATGGTTTTCAATTAAAAATTACCTGGTAGTTTTAATCACAATTTATGACTGACTGATTAGTAGCTGAGTTGGAGTAAGAATCAACAGAACAGGAAGTCTGATAATTGTTTACCGTGTAATTCTGCCCAGTCACACCTGGCCAGGAGTCTAGCAGACACTCTACTCACTTGCATTATTTTTCCATCTCTATAACTGAGTAACTGCTATACAGCGTCACACTTTTTCTTGCTTTGTTTTTAAGGAGCAGCTCAACAATTCTGGGTCAGGGTTGGCTTGTTAGGACAACACAGAGAACAGAGGGGGAACCACAGAAATGACACTTAACACCAATGTTGGTTCTGAATGATACTAGGGTAATAACTAAGATTATTATTTGTGTTATTTGCTTTTCTTTAGAATACAAATCAAAGCCATTAACCTGAACTTGAGGTATATACACAATACATATTCAACTTTAAGCAAAATACTTTCCATAATATTACATTTTTAAAAACTGGAAACAGTATCTGTGCTGATTTGTATTTGATTCAATGTAATGAGAAAGGAGCATTCAACCTGGGGTGGGGTGGGAAAGTCACTCTGACAATAAAGCTCTCCAGTTCAAATGTCTTCCTCTTCCTTCATGCTTGCCACAGCTATACCGAATCGTGAGAGGACTCATCAGGGGAAAGTGTCAGCCACAGCTTCAACGCACTTTGGAAGGAATGAGAGAGCAAACTGGGTGGTGACATTTCACCTTTGTTTTCAAATAAGTGGTCTTATTTTATCTTCTTATAGAAAAACTCTCAAATCAGTTTATTATAAATATATGTGAACCGTTTTTGCAGCTTTCAGGTAAAGTCAGCACTTTATTGATAGAGTCCGTAGGAAGAGGTCAGTAGAGATCATCTGATCTTCAACCGTGACATCATCCACTCAAGTCCTTGACATAACCTGTGAAGACAACAAAACTCATGTGATTACACTATGAACTAAAGCTACAGGTATAAAGCTACTAACCTGAAGAATGAAAACTGTGACAGTGGTCAATTCAGGGGCTGTGGACTCAGACACACTAGGCCACGAAGGCTTTAGGTTCATTTTTACCTTAATGCTTAGAACAGTGTAGAACAGTGCCTAACATGTTCAGGGAACTCACATGATCATTGCCCATGGAATGAAACAGGTAGGTAGTAGGGGTGTGTGTGTGTGTGTGTGTGTGTTAGAAAAAAAACAAGCAGAGTGCAATAGTGCAATGTATTCCAAAATAAAAATCAAGAGGTAAGCAGATTTTTGTATAAGACTATTCAATGAAGAATTTTTAATAGGAAAGAGTGAAATTTCAATGTCTAGAATCAGCAAAAACCAACACATTTAAACACTCATATATATTGGTAAAACCTTTCCTTTCAAAAAATGCTTGACATACAAAATTGTTCACGACACAAATGAAGTGAAAGTAATGGGATATACTAAACATACAACAACATTCTTAACACAAAGTATACATATGCAACTGTATGTAAAATACTTTGAATTAGTTCAATTACTGTGTATTGACCAATAAGTAACTGAACTAATTCAAAATATAGAAAGGGATTGTCATTGCGACAAATGCCTAACCAAAGGAAAACAGTCATTACTGATTCTACAATAAGCTCCAAGACTGTCATATTATTATCTATGATGAGTACTGTAGATATAAAAGTCTGCTACAGTATCTTTTCTTTAAAGATTCTCTTTTTATTACTTATGTGGATGTATGCAAACATGTGTGTCACATCTCTTGGAGCTGGAGTTACAGACAGCCATCTGACATGGATGATGGGAACAGAACCCTGGTCCTCTGCAAGAGCAGCATGCTCTCTTAATCACTGAGCCATCTCTCCAGCTCCTACTTGAATTTTTCTTTAAACTCAGATTTTTTTTTTATCAAGTATGAATGTAAAAATAAAAAAGAACACACAAACAGATGGTTTTTGGGAGTGGCTACTTTTCTCCATATTTAGACTCCTACTTTTTTAAACTGACAGAAAACAGTACAAAACAATAAATGACTTCAAAGTGGGAAATGAACAGCAGTTAACTAGAAAAACTTCAGAATGCATTAAGTACTTAACAGGCATTTTAATCTTCCCAACAGTCAGATTGCAATCTTTCCCATGGTATACAAGAAATCCTAGCAAGGTTAGCAAATGACAGAACTGGGCTCAAGCAAGGCCATTGCTCCATAGGCCACGATCTTCCACCAACTGAATCAAATGGTACCCAAATGAAAACCACTATTTTGGTCTATTTCATGGTAATTTGATTGGAATGCTTCATATTCACTGACCCTTCATCAAGGTTTCAGAGGGAAAGAAATCCTGTCACTTTATCTGATTCATCTGTTGGTACTCTAGGTTTCTGCCCCTGCTGAATTTATCAAGAGCAGCATCCCCACACTCAAGACTTCTTTTTCTATCATGTTTCCTTCTGCTGCTTTTGAATAGATACAGCTCTGCAGACCTTTGAAAAGTAGCAAAAAAAAAAAAAAACTACTCTTTAGGCTTTTCACCCTATATCCAACTTCCTCTATTTCCTCTTTTCCTTCTTTTCTGACCACACTCAGAATTTCCAGTTGGGCTGAAGAGGTGACTCAGCCGTTCAGAGCTTTTCACTGCTCTTAGGAGGACCCAGATTGGTTTCCAGCACCCAGATGATGACTTACAACTGCCTGTAACACCGATTCCAGGGGATCCAATGCTTTCTTCTGACCTCTAGAGGGTCCTGCATGGACATGGTATGCATACACACACTCAGGCACACACACAGAAAACAGTTTTTTAAAAGCTGCTATCCTAAAATCTACTTCCTCTTTAAATTATCACTGTCTTCTCCTGCCCACTTTCCCAATACATAGGCTGAGTTCACTCACTCACTGTTAAATTCATCAGTACTTTTTCCATCTTCCTGGACCTTGACCACACATTTACACAGCTCACCCTACTTCCTTCTTAATACTTCAGCTCTGGGCACAACCCTAGGCATATCACATGTCTTCCAATACCCTTGATTCCAGAAACTAGGACTCTCATGTCCCAATCCCCTTATGGTCTGAAGCATATAGATTAGCACTCTGCTAACAAGCTACACTGTCAGTCTCCAGCAGTTTCTGACAGCACAATTTCCTTTTGACAACACTGCTGGCCATGGTGGGTATCTGCTAGTTTTACATATAAATCCTCTTTTAGTCTTTCTTCATTGTGCATAAAATGTGGATTCATCCATAGAGCTGTGTGAGGACTAAGAAAGATACTGCATGAAAAGCACTCCAGGGAGGACATGCTCTCAAGTCAGTCCCAGGTTCATTATCCAAAGTATTTTCTGAGGGCTGGAGAGATGGCTCACCAGCAAATAGCACTGGCTGCTGTTGCAGAGGACCCAGGTTCACTTTCCAGCACCCAAACGATGTCTCACAATTGTCTAAACTCCAATCCCACGAGATCCAACACTGACTTCTGGGCTCCCTGGGCACAGTATTTATGTGGTGCAGACACAGGCAACACACCTACACACATGACATCTTTTTAAAAGTAAAAAAATCATTTTGTGGCTTCTCCAGTGCTCCGTGGTACTCTTAACCTGTTCACGCAGCTATCGCAACTATAGAATCTACATGCATACATGTTAGTTCATGTATGTACATCTGTGTTGCATATCTTATCACACAACCATCCAAAGTCCCTGGTTAGACATTGACTCCCTTACATATTTTTTTAAGTTGATGAAGACATGCATGTTTCTGAGCCAAACTAATAGTACTTATGAGAAGACATCTTACCCCTCGCCAGTAAGAGCGCAGCACGCTTGGATATGCCACTGGTGGTCTTTTATAGAAGTTAGCTTCAAAAACTGGGAGATTTCTGCTACTGTCATGCATCCTTTAACATCTTGCTTATTAGCAAAAATCAGCAATCCAGCTTTTCTTAGGTCCTGTAAGGGCAAATAAAATTTAAAGGCTAGTACATTTTCAGCTTAGCTGGTTATTTTCCATAATTTTAGTAATCTGGACTATCTTTTTTTTTTTAATTAAATTTCTTTTTATTGTCACAGGCACACCTACCAGTCTAGAATTTTAACATTCTACACAATATAATCTCACATCTCACAGACTGACAGAAATACACAAATCCTTGTTTGGGCTTACAGACTTCTCAGTTGCGTGTCTGTGTGTTTGTGTGCTTGTTTGTGTGGGTGTAGTTTACTCACTGTGCAGATACATGTGGAGCAAGATGTAAGTGTTGAATGGCTCAGTTTTGGAAACAGACTTCTCACTGATTTGCTTGTACTGGCCAGTGAGCACAGTGATCCTGCGTTCATCTGCCCAGCAATGGAGCTGCAGGTATGGACTGCTGGGCCTGCTCTTTTTCCATGTGTGCTGGGGACCAAAGTCAGATTCACATGCTTGAGCAGCAAAGATTGTACCACCTGAACTATCTGCAAGATTCCCAGAACCGAATGTTTGGTCTTACATGATATACTTTAAAGGTTACTAATAGTCTTCCTTTACTACTGTACCAAAACTCTGCCCCCTTTACCTTTTCACATTACATTTTCTGCTTTATTAACAATATTCACTATATACTCTAATACATGTAAGTTCTTTTTATTTTTGTGGTCTTGCTATGCATTTCCAACTTATTTTTAACTTATTATCTTCCTTTCTTGAACTTTAGAGTGCTAGAATTACAAGTGTGTACCACCACTTACATCTTAAACACTCCAAGTAGCAAGCTATTGACTCTCTGGACAATTTGGGATAGCCTTATCTCAACATTACTCCAACTGTTTATCTGTATGTCTCATTCCTTTTCTTCCAATTCCTAAGGCAAATCCTTCACAACCATGATTCCAAAAGAGAATTAAACTCCTCAGAAAATGACTACACTACAAGTTTGCAACAGTGTGTACAGCTGGTATCTTCTGAATACATAATCAGGCAGCAATCAATCAATCAACCAACCAACCAATCAATTTATCATGTAGGGATACATTCTCAGTTTGGAAACACTGTGTGAGAGAGAGAGAGAGAGAGAGAGAGAGAGAGAGAGAGAGAGAGAGAGAGAGAGAGAGAGAGAGAGAGAGGGGGCGGGGGAGAGAGGGGGACGGGGGAGAGAGGGGGACGGGGGAGAGAGGGGGACGGGGGAGAGAGGGGGACGGGGGAGAGAGGGGGACGGGGGAGAGAGGGGGACGGGGGAGAGAGGGGGACGGGGGAGAGAGAGGAGTGTGTGTGTGTGTGGATGTGCTGAGTGCTTTATGCACAATCAAGAATGACTTAGTTACAGTGCCCTCTGTAGGATGGAGTTGCTGGATTATGTTAAAAATAGATAAGAACACTGGTTAACAGTATTAAGACTGCATATTTAATCAGCTTCAGACATAGTTTGTTCCAAAGATCTAAAAAGAAAAAAAAATGAAAACTGAACATACATAGTACTATTAAAGATACAAGTTTTAAAAAAATCTTATCCTAAATGAAAATGGACTATTATTGATAGGTGGTATGTGGCTGAGTTAATGAGAAGACTGACTTTCTGTGGGATTTAATTTAATTTCTATCCTATCATGTAGAGGTTTTGATATCTCTTTCTGGTGTATGTTGAACTCTTTTATATAGGCCAGGTCTGCTAACGATGACATGCTCAAAACACAAAATTCTGTTTTAAGTATTGGCTCAAGTTAGGAAACATATTCTGTACCATTTTACAGTAATTTAAACCCATCATTTTTAGTAATAAAATTTAGAGAAGCCCCTAAGCTAGAACTAAAAAATTAAGTTATTAAAGGTCTTGTACTTGAGAGATATCTCTGCAGGGAAAGTCCCTACTGTGCTAGCAAGCATGAGGAGCAGAGTTCAGAACTCCAGAACTCAGGAAAAGTGTGTGTGGGGGAGGTGGAGCAGAGGATTCCCCAGAGAAAGCTGCATGGCCAGGCATGCCCAAATATAGAGCTCCAAGTTCAGCTAGTGATTGCCTCTATAAAGATGGAGATGAATGTAAGACAGCCAATATCAACATCAGACCTGCACAGCATGTGAACACCAACCCACACCCACACCCACAGGCATGCATACCACACAAGCACAACTATAAAAAGAAAGAAATAGAAGGGGTCTCTAAACTAAAACTGTAGTCTCTTTTCTAGATCTCAAAACCCACACTTTAGGAAACTCTCATGTATCTCAGACTGGCATCAATGGAGTTCTTCATTATTTAAAATGATCACAACAGTCATAAAACAGGTATTTTACCCTTTTAAATACCAAGAAGGATGGAGAGAGAATCTTTACTTTTTATTGTATAACCTCAAGACCAAACATAATATTATGACAATAACAGAAAGTATATTCATTAAATTGTATTTGTAAGTTATCAAACTTTAGGGTAAACAATGGTAACCTTTTGCTCTCAACTGAATTTAAATGTCCCCTGCTGTACAAAAGACACACGTGATCTTAAGAATGTGAAAGATCCAGACCTGATGATGCAGGCCCATGATCTCACAACTATCTGGGGGGCTGAGGCATGCTGACTGATATTCAAGGCCAGCCTGAATAGTTTAATGAGACTTAAGATAAAAACAAACATGGCTTTTAAAGACTAGGGATGCCTCAGTGGCAGAATATTTGCTAGGCAGATGTGAGGCCCTGGGTCCAATGGTCCACACAGGAAAAGAAAAGTATCTAACATGTCTATTTAGTCAAGCAAACAGCAGCAAATGCAAACATCTACTCCCGTGTCATATACCAATACTGTCAATTTGTTTCACAAAACTTCATTTGTGAAAACAACTTATAGAATTTCAGTCATTCTAAAGAAGGGTTTGGTGTCTGAAACTATTTTAAAATTAGTTATATTCAAAGTTTATTAAGTCTTATAAGATGAAGCCTTGAGAAACTTTTAAAAACTTTTTATAGCTTCATGTTTTGGAATGCACTGAAGAGTCATTTTCACATGCTTTTAGTCCCAGAATTTGGGAGGTATAGGTCGATGGATCTCTAAGGCGGAGGTAGGTTGATCTCTGAGTTCAAGGCCAGCCTAATTTACAAAAGGAGTTCCAGGACAGCCAGGACTACACAGAGAAACCGGGTTGTGAAAAGCGACAACAAAAAGGCTGTGTTGTAGCAGCTATGAAACACCCAGCTAACTCCATTCACGTGTTTTCCTACTTTCCTCACCTGTCCTCGCCAGAGCTCTCTCCTGCTGACTCTGCTCCGGCCACCAATCAGCCTCCTGTGGTTCCTGGTACCATCTTTAACACTTCCCCTGCCTCTCTACTCAGTCTCCTTTCAGGTTCTAGTCAGCCTTGTACTGTTTTTCTCCTAGCAATGAGTCTAAATAAGAATATGTGTTCCTATAAACAAAAGCCATTCAAGAATAGTTGTTACACTCAGATCCTGGCTCTTTAAAAAACTGGTTAGTAACATCATACAGTATAACAGACAAGGAGGGGGAAGTGGCCAGGTTAGTGTTCCCAGGCAGGAAGGTTCAAAGACTTTCACTCTGTTTCAAACACTGAGCCTGCCATATATCAGCCAATTTATGAGCCATCAAACAGAGGCTTCCTGCTAAAGGTAAACATAAATATTCAAGAGACAGCATATATTTTCCCCTTCTAAGTCTCCATAAAACTCCACTCTGAAATAAATTGAAGAATGTTTTGTCTCTTTTTATACAATTGGAAAGAAGTAAGCCTCTTTTATGGAGTTACAGACAGTTGTGAGCTGCCATGTGGGTGCTGGGAATTGAACCCAGGTCCTCTGGAATAGTAGTCAGTGCTCTTAACTGCTAAGCCATCTCTCTAGCCCCACAAGATGTATTTTTTAAACCCCAAAAGGTCTGACACAAATGCCAGAATTTGAGCCCCAAATAGGAAAGAGTACACATTGGAAGCCATGGTCACTATCTCTGTTAGGGTATTTATTGCTGTGAAGAGACACCATGACCACAGCAACTCTTATAAAGGAAAACCTTTCACTGAGGCTAACTTACAGTTCAAAGGTTTAATCCACTGTCACGATGATGGGAAGCATGGCGGCACTCAGACATGGTGCTGGAGAAGTAGCTTTCAGTTCTATATATAAATCCTCAGGCAGTAGGAATAGCAAGTGACACTGGTTTGAGCATTTGAAACCTCAAAGCCCACCCCCAGTGACACACTTCTTCCAACAAGGCCACAAGTACTTCAAAAGGCCATACCTCTTAATAGTGCCACTCCCTCTGAGCCTATGGGGCCATTTTCATCCAAACCACCACAACCACTAATAGCAAAATATGTATTCATAATTTACAAAAAACACTTTTTATCAGGTTTCCTAAACTCTTAAAAGTCTACCTGAAACATAAAAAAAATCTGTAAAGCAAAACTCAAAAAGAAATAAAAGAAAAGATATACTCTATACATCTGTTGTATAACAATTTCCTCCCAACTAGAACATTGTATCCTGGAAGGAGACACCTTAAAAATCTGGAAGTAAGCAACTCACACATCAGAAAGCTCCTGAAACTTACAATACACACACACACACACACACACACACACACACACACACACACACACGCACGCACGCACGCACGCACCCACACAGGTTTCTTTCCCAAGGTTGTATGCCAGTAATGACTACTGGGGAAAAGAGACTCTGGATCATCAAAGCTCTTGCAAATTGTAAGGAGCTCCAGGGATGCTGCTTTTATGAACAAATCAACCAGCATACTGTGGGCTTTTAGGTAATACTGCCTTTGTGTCAGCCATGTTCCTTTAAATAATCCCTTACCAATACTCCTGTAAGTCAATAAATTCATCATGTGAATTTTGGTACAATAGTTGGTATCCTATCATTGATAAACCCTATAGTGGAACATGATCTTTATGAGGTTAGTCAGGCTTCAGTGAATCTAAATGAAGACTGGCATGTAGACCAGGTTTGTAAATGGTAAAGCAATCAAGAGGGAATGAGAGAAGGTCAAAGGTGGTCTGCCCAAGCTATTCCAGGACATGTGATTAAAACTTCTGTTAAACTGTAATTCCCAGAAAAACAACAGAAAGCCAAATGTTATACTGTTACATTTCTAAAAGGCTTAAGAAGCTGCAGTAGCAGTTTACAGAAGATTTAAAGTGTGCCTTGGTGTGGGCAATTATAGTGTATACATGTAAAAGCACACCAGGAGTGGAGACTGCCCAGCATAGTCTTTTCAGCAGGTGTGTTTGGCTGATATAAAAGCAATGGCACAAAGACAGCCTAGAGCATGTCAGAATCAAGACACCGACTACAGTGCCAGACATAGTAGGCAAGTGTAATAAAAATACTCTGACAAAAGCACTCTGCTCCCCACTTGATCCTGAACCAAGCTGAGAAGTGCAAGCCAGTCCTGTTAAGACTGCCAGTGTTAAAGAAACATGGAGCAGCCTTGAGTGGCAACAATAACACAGACAAGGAAGTAGGATGGTTGATGGTAACTGTTTCTGGATTATGGTGGACTAAAGGACAATGTCTCACATCTATGCTGTTCTAAACATTGCTCTTTTGACAAGGAAACTGAAAGATGTGATGAGATCTTTTTAAGTTGTGCTGCATTGCAACTTTTTAGTACCTCTTCAGGAATCCAAGATCAACTGGCATTTACTATGATGTTTTTTCAGAGATTCTGCCTACCCTTTTTGTAAAAAGATTTTATTACATGACGTGAGCATTTGTATAGATATGCAAAAGCACTCAGAGCAGTAAAGACTACAGTTTTTAAAAAGGTACTCTGTGTGCTATGGTTTGAATGTGAAATGCCCCCCACTTGGTTCCCAACGAGTGATGCTGTTTGGGAAGCTGACAGAACTTTCGGGAAAAGAGACTTTCTGGAGGAACTAAGTTACCAGGGGTAGGCCTTGAAGTTGTATAACACAGTCCACTCTACTTCTTGAACGTGGGTATCATGTGACCAGTTATGGTTAGGGTTAGGGTTATGCCTTCTCCACCGTGACTGACTATCCTTCTGGAACTGTTAAGTGAAAACAAACCTATTCTCTTGTAAGCTGCTTTTATCAGAGCAGTTTTATTATAGGAACAGAAAAAACAAAAACAAACAAACAAAAAACCCCAAACCCCCCAAGCCCCCCAAACAAAAACTAAGATAGTGTATAAGTGGGAAAGGTACTTCAGGAGCCATTAGATTGTTGGACAAAAATCCCAATACCCAAGGTGGACTACCTCTTAATGAGTTGTCAGCCAGGGAGACCCTCAGGCTTCACAAACTATAAAGGTGCATTGCCACTGCTCTAAGTTGCAGGGCAAAACTAGTAAGAGTCTTTGGTTATTACAGGATATGGAGACAAAAGAAGTTGTTAATGGATCCCATTCCAGATGACTGACTGCTTTCACAGTACTGGAAGGTACCTTGTGGGCTGTTCGGAGAAGAACTGTCACCAGCAATCTTGGTTGGCTATGGATGGATCTCAAGGAAAATGTGTGCCTACTAGTGTAATAGTGGCACAACTGTTGTGAGTATAACCTACTAATTTTCAACTGTATTTAAGGCTCACTTTACAGGAGAAAACTCACTAATGCTCTAAGTCAGAAAACAGCCCATGCATGGAAGGTCACAAGCCCAAGAAGGGTGGCCACTGCTATTGTTTCCTTAAAAGAATGTGCTGTGCCTTACTACTGCTGTCAGCCTCAATAGGTTATGAAAGGAAATTCTGTGCTTGCAATAGGGAGTGTACTGCAGAGACTCAAAGCCTCCGGCTGTGTGTGGTGGTCGACACCTTTAATCCAGAGGCAGAGGCAAATGAACTCTCTGTGAGTGCAGGCCTGGACCTCATGTATGCCAGCACTCCACCCGTGAGCTATATCCACAGCCCTCACTTATTTAAATTTTGACCATGTGACTAGTAGAATTTTGAAGGACTTAGCATAATTATAAGGTAGTCAAATAATTTCATTGGGTGAAAGGAACAAGATTTAAAAAAAAACCTAAGCAACTAAGTTTAAATATTAGTTTGATAACAGAGAACACTCAAGAACTGTTACATATCCAGGTATTTGTGATGTACCTGTCAAATGATAATTCACTGTATGAATAATACGTCCAAAATGTAAACAAAAGCTACTTGTAGAATATTTTTTTTGCTCAGTGAAACCTCTAAATCAGATTTATCAAAGCTAAATATTAATCTAGGATTGTCTGCACACTGATTCTCCTCCTTCCAGACACTTCAGAAGTATCACAATCACAAAACAAGAATGACAAGCAGGCGTGACCAACAGATAAATACTTCTCCTTGTGAGAAACTACAAAGAGCAATGCCCATCCCCGCTTGCTGCCACAAGCATACTTACCTCGTGGGCTAGCATTTTGTAGAGCTCTTCTCTGGTTACAGAGATCCGTTCTCTGTCTGTGCTGTCCACAACAACTATTACAAACTAAAATAATCACAAGAAATCATTAGTGACTTTGAGTAGCCGAAAATCCAAGGTACTTATTTTGTACTTATACACGATACTAATATCAAGACATTAAAATTTTCTATATTGTAAGAGAACGAGGGATGTTTATCATTTTCACTTTATTAAAGCCTGGAGATCTGACTCATTTCTAACTCAAATACATTTATTCATTTTTAAGTAAAGCAAAAGAAAAGAATACGATACTAACCAAAATAGAACACTTTTTTCTTTTCCAAATTATTACATGGATAGTAAAGGGCCTATCCCTGTATTTACACTATAGTTCAATTTTAAAAAAACAAACAAAACCCAAGCACTTAAAGTCCTAAATTTAACTTGCTTCTAGTAAAGTATTCCTACTATCTTTTGAAACTTGAAATGAACAAATTGAAAGTATCAATTGGCATCTAAAGACAAGAGCTCCCTTATGTCCAAGACATTGTCATACTGAACAGACAGACAAGACTATGGTTCTTACGGATTGGACCCCATTGTACTCCCAACTCCAAGAGCACACAAGGCAAGAGCAAAAGCCCCAGCACCGCACTTAAAACGCTCACGCTGCCTGTTAATAGAACACACTCTTTATTTTTCAGAACTTGGTAGTAATTTCCAAATAAACCATTGTGGTTCTCAGCCTTTTTGTTCTTCAATTTTCACCAACTGTAAGATTTCATTTGATAGCTTTCTGGCAGAAGACTTTATTGTTGTGATGCTTATTCTATCAGATGGTATTCTAATAAACCTTTCTCAAGGCTTACACAATTTAATACCTGGAGCAATATATATATATATATATGTGGGCACTACATACACCTTTATAAGTCATACATACATTTCCTCCAAACATACAGTGAAATGCTAAATGGAGTGCTGGAGCCAGGCCATGAGAGCAACACTTGGTAGCATCATTAGTGACTTAAGTATCATCTTTACATATGTGTAGAATATTTTTAAGGCCTTATAATCCATACCACAAAAACCACTGGTGCAACCTGTCAGTTTATAGGTGTACATGATGAATATAAGTTTTGAAATTTTCTCTTAGAACATAATGTAAACAAAAACCATATGACTATGTCTAAAATGCTTTATAATCAAAGTATTTCAAGTGCAACTGCACTGCATAAAAGAAAATACACAGCAAAACCTGGCTAGGACTCAAACCACAGAAGAGCCCTTCACTTGGCTACAATTTCTCCCACTTAGCCATGTATAAAATGCAAATGAGAAATGCCATCTGAAATCATGAGATGCAGGTCATTACAAAAGCAGCTACTAGATCAAACACAATCTGACCAATGGACCGAGGAATGGAAGATGACTGGTCAAGCACAGAAGACTCTGTTTACACTAAGTCAAAATGCTGTCCTATTTTTAAAGGACTGCAATGATTCAGATGCAAGTGCTTTTCAAGTACCCAGAGTGCTCATGTAAGCGTCAGTGGTAAGAACGTTACCTCAGTGTTAGTATAGTAAGTGTTCCAGGAAGAACGGAGGGACTCTTGACCACCAATATCCCACATCAGGAAACGTGTATTATTAACCACGATCTCTTCCACATTGCTTCCTATTGTAGGGGATGTGTGTACAACTTCATTCATGGAACTAGGAGGGGAAAAGTTGACAAAGTCAGTGAGGAAGCTTGCTCATTTCAGGATGACATTAAGGGACAAGTCAGCATAACTCCTCTTTCTATTTCATACCCAAGTGACCTTTTTCTATGAGCTCATACAATGAGTCAGCTAAGGATATAAACAGAGCTCAAAATAATGGCTTAAGAATATTACAGATTATTTTGGAAAACTGTATAAACAAATATTTTCCTGTTTCCTAAAAGCAAGAAGCTCAATGCAAAACAATGATCATGCTAGGTGTCATGTAAATCTTTAGCTCACCACAAAAAGTTGTTTAAATCTTGCTCCTGACTTATGGTTAGTCTGCTTGGAGCCATATAACTTTTCATTGATCAAATATCACAAAGCAGAAAGAGTAACTAGATACAACAAAAGTAAAACTTTTCAGCAGTTAATACTCACAACTGGTAAAGGATGGTAGTTTTCCCTGCATTATCCAGCCCAACAATGATAACTTTGTGCTCTGAAATAAACAAACCAATAGTGACTTAAGACAGACTCACACAGACTCCCCTACTTTACTTTTCTTTGTTTCTGTGGTATAAGTCAGCACATAGCACTTTCAAACCTTCTGAGAATCCAAAGAATATCCCGGCAAGCATGAAGCATGGTTAGGCTTACTTTCTCTGCCTCTCCTCACTCTACAGAAACCTCTCACCCTTCCAGTCTCTCCAGCAGTCGGAAGCACTATCTTCCTAGGCCCAAGGAAGTCTAGGCTCAGCAAAGTATCCCCAAATGTAATCACAGCAATTACAAAAGCCGTAAGTCACTATCACTGAAGCTCGATCTGTGAAAGTTCTGGCATCCCTTGGGTAAGTTCCTGGGGAGTGTGAAAAAGAAGGAGAAAAAGAAGAATCCTTTCCATGGGTAACTCAACGATAACGAGTAGCACCGTTCTGGCAAACAACTCTGAGGCTGCCAGCCACAGCGGTAGGGACTTACTCCTACATTCTTTTCTTTTCTTTCTAGTTCTCTTTAATTCTTTTTTAATTTTGTATGGTTTGGGTTTCTATTTTTTTTCTACCAGGGTTACAGCAAAACATTTATCATAATTTGTATGTGCACAAATCTAAACTTAAATCATGTACCCTTCAAATATACAGAATACAATATTTACATTCCTGGTTACTATAATTCTTCCTGGCACAAGACAGGTATTTAATAAGCACTAAATTAATATTCATAAAGAGATCTTTACTACTGAGAAATTTCACAGCATTACCATTTACCCCAGAGGTGCTCATGTTATATAAAAGTTACAAAATCGAGTAATAGAAAAATTTAATTCAATCCAGTTTAACAAGTCAACCACAGGTAGCTAAGTACCATGAGGGTCCTTAAGTAACATGATAACCCTCCTCTCATATGGTTTTTCAGCATCCTTTTGAAGACCCTAGGGCCTATCACATTTCATACTCAGAGATGACTATGGTGAAGGCACAGGCTCACATACAAAAGTGATTGACACTTTTTGAAGGTGAAGGGTCAACATACATATGTACATACATACATACATACATATATACTTATCATGCCATGCATGGGAAAGTCACCAGGCTACACCAACTGACAGTACAGAGTGAATTTATGTCTCCTGAGTCCACAAATGCAATCCCAGAGTACACAAACTCACAGAAAGCAACACACCAGCAAGCACTAAAGACAAATGTTTCAAACAAACTCAACAAGCCAGGAATAATGGCACACAGCTGTGGTCCGAGCTACTTGACAGACTAACAGGAAGATCACAAGTTCTAGGCTGGACCAGGCAATACAGTAAGATGCCACCTCAAAAACCAAAACAAACCCAACTGGCTGACAAGTACAGGCTCCCTCACCCTGACCCAACACTCGGGAACCACACACAACCAACCTAACAACTGTCTCCAAGACTTGTACACTTTAGATTTTTAAAAATACATATTTTACTTTATTTTTAGTGTTTATACTAAATCGACAATGACCAATCTCCTCTGGGAAAAATCATATTTTATGGCTGATTTAAAACCAGAAAACTCTTGAGAAGCATGGGATTCCAACCAAGTAAATATTACTGGTACCATGGCCATGAATGCTGCTTCCCAGTGGGGCCATGTCTGTACCAGAACCAGGTGATGCAGTTCAGCAGCCGGGGTGCCTTTCTTCCAGGTAAGTTTCTAACTAGTACAGACTGCCTTTCTAATTTTACTTTTCCCCTTGTAAGTGTAAGCAATCCACATTTGATGATGTATGCTTTCTTGAGTTCTGTTAACACAAGCACCTATAAAGGTATTCAAACAAAAAGGAAATTCCCCAGTTGAATACTGGTTTTAAATTAGAGCCTTCTGGACTGGATGTGGTGGTACACCTCTCTAATCACAGAACTCCAGAAGCACAGGCAGGTGAGTTCCAGGCTAGCATAGTTTATATAGCATCCTCAGGCCAAAGGTTGCAGAGTGAGACGCAGTTTTAAAACAAATTAATTAGAGCCTTTCTATAATATCAGCTTAAGTCCTAAAGTCAAGGAATACATTTTGTACTACCCCCACGATTAACTACAGGACAAAATTTACACAGATTTCCAGTACATTTATAATCATCAATGAAAGAAATAATGTCTTTAAAACATTCCAAAATAAATAGGACCAGTCCAAAAGTAATACAAAATCCCATCCCAGAACAGACAAAGCAACACACAAAAATGAATGACCCAGAAGAACACCAGCAAGTACAATAAAGACGAATGTTTCAAACGAACTTGACAAGTCAGATACAGAGCTTGACAGGAATCCATGGTACATAACTATAAAGCATGACTTAGCACACATGTGTATGCAAACAAAGTGCCCACAGATGATTAGCACATTATCTATTTCTGCACAGCCCTTAATCACCCAAGGCGGTTATGGGCACGCACGCACGCACACACGCACTCTTTTCAAAAGCTGCTGCTTTTCCGTCATCCTTCCTTCCAGAGCCTGAGCTACTGAGTTATACATTCCCAATGGTGATAAATCCTTTAACCTCCAAAGATGCATCTGAGTTTTAAAGAGAGTCTCCTTGGTATCACCTTGGTCATCAGGGAAAAGGGAGTTGAAACGAATGCCAGCTTGCTGTCAAATGAGTATAACCCTTGTGTAATAAAGAATCATTAAAAAAAAAAAACTTGTCTCTAATGAAATTCTAAATTGAACCTTAAAAGATACATTGAATAGGAGGAGACACTGGCAGGAAAACTATCTGGTTTCCTAAAACAGTAGCTTTCATGTTAGAACCCCTCATCCGGTTTGCACAGGAGTTGTGGTTCTTTGTTTCTATTTTGCTTTGTGATCTTTAGCTATGCCCTCAAGAACTTAGGTCCTGATTATAAAACCATGGCTTTTCTTAGCTCCTAGAAAGGATTATCTACATAAAAAAAATTACCTAAGAAAGCTATTTTTGGGGGGCAAGGGGGCCCACATGCTCAACAGGACAAGTGAAGCAAGCATGCTGAACAGAACCACCATGCAGTAGCAGATGCGAAGGCAAGGCAGAGGGCAGATGAGGCTCAGACCACAAGAACTTCCTTTTCTCAGGATACAAACAAAACAAAGGATGGAGTACCTAGAAATAAAGAAACCAGAGGGTTGGGAGCATATGGTGGGTGATGCGTGTGAGAACCCAGATCAGGAGGCATGGTGGGAAGCTTTTAACAGGTAAGACTATCCAAGACGGAAAAAACAATCAGCCAGACATTGCATTTAGCTGGCAAAGAGAACCATCATTTTGTAGTCTACAAGATAGGGAATGATGGATGTCCTAACAGGCAAAAGTCAGGATTCGGTGAAGGCAGAGCAGGAAAGGTAAGAAGGTGATGGAAATACGCAAAGTCAGAGGCTTTCTATGTCCCCTGCAGATAAAGTGAGAATGGAGTTACATCATTGGGAACAAGGTGAAAAGGGATGAGTGTGACAAAGGCGGCATGTCCTAATCCAAATCTCCTAATTCCTTTCTTGGCTGGCTACTAAAATCTAGACAGGTGCTCAACATACCTCCTCTCCAACTTTCTATTTAGTTTTGCTAGCACCATTCTCTACTGCGGAAGACAGTGCTCTTCTGACTAGCTTTACAAAGTTACCCAAGTCCTACATCACAACCAAATACATAAATACAAACCCCAAAGGCAATTTCTAAAACATCAACAAGACGAACGTAACACTGAGGGCTGTTATGACATTTCAAAAGAGAAGAAACTCAAATCACACAAGTGCAAAACTTAAAGAATTCCCCCAAGGAGCCATACGCTATAAAAACGAAACCCCAAACCAACATACCAAGGCAAAAATGCAACCCAGAGAGGAATATGTAATCCAGTGGATCACCCCCTCATGCGGCCTCACAGCCCCAAGCTGAATTCTCTTCCAACTTTAGAGAGGAATGTGATTATAATAAAGTATCAATGACCATTTTGGTAGTTTCCTAAATCAAGGATACACTGTATGAGTCATGATGAGAATTGTAACATTAAGACAGAGTTATGTAAGAGGCTAAAGGTGGCGATGCAATAGTCACAAACTAGCTTACCCCTGATATGATACAGGATTAGGTCATCCATACACATTCTATACTAAATAACTCCCTCACACCTTTAAGCTGTTTCACCACTCCAACCCTCATTACCAGACACAGCATTCTATAGAGAACGTAAGTCTGTAGCCAGCAAGTGCTGGAACCCTGTAGTACAGTGTGATTCAAGAGATCCAGAGATCCTAAGACACCGTGGAAGCACAGAACTACAATAGAGCACACTACAAGGAATGTTACTGAGGACAAGTGTCAATCTGACTTTGGCCATCCCAACTCTTTGACACTTGTGAGTCATTGCAATTGCTGCTTTGTCTGACTTTTCATTTAGAAGGCTATTCTCACAATATTCCTGCACTCAGGAAAGCCCAAACACCACCACACTATTACTGTCTGCTGGGATTCTGAGTTTGATCTGAGCTTCTTTACCTTACCAATCAATACTGTTTTGTCATAAAAACAGTTCTTGTTGTCCATGGGTCCTTTCTTTGACACACCCAGGCAGCCACGTATTGTCTATAACTTCATCCTCTGACTACCACTGTGTAGATGACAAGTTGTGTCCCAACAGCAAAAGCTGGGACACACCAGCTCAAGCAGAAGCTCCATTTGCCACATCCATTCCTGTTCCCTCAGCAAGCACAGACACTGAAGAAAGCATGCCGGTAATGAAATATCTATCTCTCAGTGAACAAAGAAATCAGCTTGGAAGACAGCAAGGGTAAGCAAAGCACTGTCTATCAAGCTCTTTTAGACTAAAAATTCAATTTGGGGGACTTACAAGCATCAAGTTTTATTTTTAAAAGCTGAAAATAAGCTTACTATTCACAGAACAGTGAGGAAGCTTTGGGAGCATAGACTTACTACTAAGAAATTGCTGGGGGAGGGGGCAAGAAACAATTAGACATACAAAATCTAGGAGACAGAAATCACATAGTAAACTGAAGTTGGGAGTTTTACAAAGAAAATATCTAGACCGATTAAACAACAGACTGGTAAGCAGATAAAACTAATCACTATGCCATATAAGAGCCAGGTACTAAGGGTAAAGGTGCCTGCGCTACAATTGGCTTGTCCAAAGAGCACACTGTCACTGAGAACAAGCACTTCCTCCTTCAGTGTCCCTCCAGTAAGCTTCACTCTGAACAACTGACAGACAGAATGCAGACAGAGTGCACCAGAGCTAAAAGGCAGCATCCTGATGAGGGACAGACACTCCTAGGTTAGTCACTTTCCTTCTGTACTCGACTACATGTTTGAACTCCCTTGAAAACACCAGATCTAGGCAGTGAGCAGCTTTGCCAGCACTCATTCATAACTTGATTCCCTTCCCAACAACCAATAAGTAGGACAACACAAGGATGTTAACAGGGAAACTCCACAGCCCCATGTCAGAAAGGTTTTCGTCCACCATCATCTTTATAAAGGGTGTGTGTGTGTGCATGTGCACGAACGCACGCATGTGGAGATGGTGAGAACACGCCGGCACTAGAAACCCTTTTCTAGAAGCCCAGGTTTTCAGATCGAATGTGTATTTGTTAGGAGGAGTATCACAACAGAGACAGACTAACCAACCCTGGTGAAACACCTAGAACCTGGTACTGCAAAAGTCCCTTATATATCAGCTGCTAATTTATTTGTAGAGACAGGTGGAGTTTCTTTTCTGCTGCCCTAGACTACAATAAATGCTTCATAAAGGCATGGGGATTTGTCTATTTTATTCCCTGCCTTATTCCCACCACCAGGAGCCGTGGTTCTCAACCTTCCTAATGCTTTGATAGTTCCACATGCTGTGGTGGCCCCTAACATAAAATTTTTTTCGTTGCTACTTCACAACTGTAATTTTGTTACTCTTATGAATCATAATGTAAATAACCGTGTTTTCTGATGTCTTAAGTGACCCCCGTGAAAGAGTCACAGGTTTGAGAAACCCTGACCTAGGTAAGTGATGACCTCAAGTATTTAACACACCACTTCTAGACACAGAGTTATTAATGGCAAGCCTACATCTAAAGAGTCACAACACAACAACTGAGTCTACAGGGAGAAAAAAGAAAAGACGTGAGCCTCTTCTTAAAAGACCATAGGCAGCCAATTTCTTTGTTGTGTCCTTGCCAACTGTCTGCTAGAAGCCTGCTTCCTCTTTTCCAGGGAAGTGACTACTTACAGGGACTGCTGAAACTTCTTTTTTTTTTTTTTTTTGAGACGGAAGCTCATGTAGCTCAGGATGGCCTTGAATTCACTATGTAGCCTAGGATAACCTTAAACTTTTGATCCTCCTAGTTTGGAATCCTGAGTGCTACAATGGCCCTCCCCGCCCCCCCCCCCATCCTCTAATCTCTCATTTGGAGATGGTGAAGTAGGCAGGCTGAGCTACACCCCCAGCTTCAGATACTTTCCTAATGATGTAAATAAATTACAACATCTAGAATAAAGTTTGAGCTCTACTGAATTTGTGTATCACCTACATATAACCTGTTTTATAGGTTGAGGGATAGGCAGCTCACTACCATGGCTTTAACTGAGCTGTCTCTGAGTTCATCAACATAGCAAACTCTGCAATTACCCAAAGCCTCTTTTCAGGAGAGTCTGTGAAAAGAATATAGATGCGTCCCGAGTCTTCTGTAAAATAAGGCATGGAAGACACACCTACCTTATGTGTCCCATTTAACACACGTCCAAAATACCAACTAGTATCTGTGACTGAGCAGTGAACACACCATTTAACAAATCATTTCTTCACAGCTTCAATATATTGACTAGTAATTTTCTAGATACTTAACTCTATTAATTCTCCTACTAATTTTCAAACAACAAATAAATTCAGGCAAATAGTACCACAAAATGCAGATTATACGACTTGTAATGCTACCAATGCATTCCTGTTATTTGCAACTAGCTGAGTTTCTTTTTTTTTTTAACAGAAACAATTTTGTCGTTGACTCAAAGAAGAAAGTGAATACAATACCAGAGACCCTTTAATGCACAAAGTTTTTTTAACCTTCATAGCAGAACTGAAACTCGGGCTTCATGAAATTCAACATTATAGAGGAAAGGACTAGATAATATTACCCACATAGACATCACCAGTTTTACAACAATGTAGCTTTCAGTACTTCAACTAGAGATTACATTTTCAAAAACTGTAGCCCACAAATTCCCCCTGTTCTAGGTGTCTATAGACCCACAGAATTGTGAAGAAACTCCAACACGCCGCCCCCCCCACACACATACACACACTCTGCTGACCAGACTGTTGATGGGAATATCACCTTTATCAACTTCCACTTCATTTAGTACCGTTATCTAAGCTATCATTTTTAAAACTATTATTAAAAAAGCAAAATCCACTGGGGATTACAAGGCCCAGTGCGCTCTCTTCCCATAAAGCCAGCTGTATCCTGGAGGAGCAGCAGGCAGGTCTAAATAGTAGACACCACCGTTCATTAAGTTTTAACTGGAAAAAGTGGGGTGCAACAACGCCACCAGCTTATACAAGAGAAAAACAGTTCGTTGTCAAGAAGGCATGAATTGCAACTAGAGTTTCTTTTTTAAAAAAGCACTACATTTCATTTTAGTAACTGTCCAGCTCTGTTAGCACTGTATTCTCTCCAGTTTCACACACACGTTTTGCCATTTTTTAAAAAAATAAACTCCTATGCATTCCGTGGCAATGTCTTGAGTTTAGGCGAACTTAAAACAGTAGCCTGCTAGTTACCTAATGCTAACGAATGTTTGCCGAGGTGTGTTTTTAAAAGCTTTCAGTTAACCACTTTAGCTAGGGCCAAAAACAAAAACAAAAACAAAAACAAAAACAAAAACAAAAAACCCCACAAAACAAAATCCCCAAACCAATCAACCAAACAAGCAAACCCTCTAATAACCCAAGAAGGAAAACGACCTTAGGCTTGACCTTTATCACAGAAACAAACAAGGCAGAGAGCCACCCATCACCATTCTCCGGCGTGGGTCCCCCCCGCTCCCCCAAAGCGAGCCGCCCAAGCGAACCGGACTAGCCGAGCACGAGTTCCAGTTTTCCGCATTCTGCAACCCGTGGGGCTCGGTGGCGGGCGCCGCCAGGGCCAGGGCCAGGGCCCCCAGCCTTCACCCTAGAAGAAGCCCGGCTTTACTCCGTACGGCCCAAACCCAACTGCCGGCGGCAGGCGACGGGGATGGAGGCAGGCCAGGTGGTGCGCTGAGCCCCCCCCCCCCCGGTGTCGGGCAGGACGCCTTTTACGCTCGCGATCAAATCGGAGCAATGGGTGTGCGGCGGGAGGGGAACCTCCCCGGCTCCCCGGAGACAAAGGCGACCCGCCGGGACCATCCCGCCCGGCCCAGGCTCACCCTGGTGATTGAACAGCCTCCAGATCCGGGTGAAGAGAATTCCCATCCTCGGGCAGCGGAGCCCTCCAGCCGCCCGGGCTCAGGCTGCGGGGCAGAAGGACGCGCCGGGGCCTCCGCCACTGCTGCCGTGTCGGCCGCGCGCCCGCTCCCAGGGACCCGCGGGGAGGCCGCAGCCCAGGCCGCCCAGCCACGCGCGAGGCCCCGCCGCTACCGCCGCGGCGCTCGCCTGGCTCGCGGACATCGCCGCCGCGTTGTCTGCTCGAGCCTCGCGGGCCACCGTCCTCCCCCAGCTCTTCTCTAGTAGCCGCTGGGGCTGGGCGGGGCGGGGCGAGGCGGGGCGGGGCGGGGCGGGGGGAACGCGCAGGCGCGGAGCCGGAGGCAGGGCAGGGGCCCTGGGAGGGCTGGTGGAGGGTGGCTGCCTCTCGCACGCTGGTGTCCAGGTTTGAGGTTGTTTCTGAGCCTAGAGTCACAATGCAAGTGTGTAACCATGCCCACCTCCAGCCCTACACACGCTTCCAAAAGTCCCAGGTTTGGGCCCCGACGACGGTAAGCTTTAAGTCTCTGTTGAGCCTGTTACCCCTTGACGGTAGCTGAAGTCGTTTGTTTTTGTTTTTTGGGACATCGTTGTAGTTTTTTCTTACCTCTGTCTTTGCACCTTGGCGCTCCCTCCACTCTCAAGCCATTCTTAGTTAGAAAAGGTCTCGAGTCTCCCCGGTTTTAGTGGTCACAAAAGTTGTCTGTGCTGAGCGGTCGAGTCCCAAAACACTGTAGGCAGACACTCACTGTTCTCTAAGGTCCCGAATGTGCTTTCCTCTCATCCAAGAGTCACCTTTCTGCTACACAGATGGCCAAAGGTTCTCTGTGCTCTTCTCTCTTCTCGTCTACAGTTTTGACCAGTTGGGCCTCTGGGTACGCGAGTGTCCAGCCCTGCCTCCGCTGCAGGACAAGTGGTTGAAAACTAAAATATAAGTAATCGTTGGTGAACCTGATCAGGAGAGTTCTTGTTCGTGTTTCTGTTTTGTTGTCGTCTACTTCTCTTAGATCTCTGGATCTCAGTATTCCTGATGTAGAAGTGTCGGTTTCATCTCTGATAGTCTTGACTCCTGTGAAAGGAGTAGGTAGGGAAGAAGAGTGGTTGTTTACTTCTTCCACAAAAAAATGGACAAAAGGCAGACGCAGCTTCATTTCTTTCTCGTCTCTCTAACTTTGATTTTTAAAAAGGAAGAGGGAAAGAAGAAAGGTGGGAGACTTGTGAAAGGCACTTGGAGCTGTTTCCGGTTACCACCTCATCCACAACAGCCACGGGAAATGAAGCCCTGGACCCTTTCTTTCTCCTGACTCCTCCTAACCACATGCTGTCTTATCTCAGTATATGGAAAAGGGAGTTCTTCGCCTTCTTTGTGGGCTTGTGTCTAAATGCCCATCTTCGAGACATATATGAAGGAGAATAAAATCATTAGACTACTTTGCACATTTAGAGTATTGTATCTGGATGAATTAAAAACTGTTTGCATCACTGAACTCTTTAGTACTTCCATTCTCGTCCAGTGCAGGCAACACTTTAGCAACTCTTGAGACATTTTTACAAATTCCCACACATCTTTGGCAACTTATTAATGTATGCCAAACCCATATTTACTTGTGAGGTTAAGGCTTCATGTTTTAGAACTCTGTTAAGGAAATGGTCTCTTAGACTATTTTCCAAGTGCCCCTCACAAAAAAAAAAAGGAGATGGATTTGATTAATAGAATCTTCGATAACTTTAATAGATAAAATACAAAATTGGTATTATAGATGTAACTGGGAATCTTTAATGAGGAATTTGTTTCTCCGAGACCCTATAAATATTTTATCAATTTTTAAAGTAATGAGCAAAATGCCATAAAAGACTTCTGCTTTAAGATATGAGGACCTAAAATGTCTGTTTTACCATTCTACTGTTAATGAGGAGAGCACTGGATACAAAACAAGAAACAACTCTTTTCAGATTGTGATCGGAACTAAAGAGAAACAGTGAGCTTTACCATTGCCCTGTGTTTCTGCCTTAGCAAAACCAATTCCCAGGTAACTCCAGAGGGAGTGGGCGGCCAAATACGAGTAGGATAGTCCCTTACCACAAAGACATGGTCTGTGTTGCCATAGTCAGGGAGACTGAAATTAGGGAAGTAGACTCACAGAGAAGGAAGAAAGAAAATCTACAGAAATTGGACTAGGAGACCATTGAGTCTAGGATGAAACCCTAGGTAGTTGACTAGTAACAATTTCTAGGGGAAAAACATACCTGGGTTGTGGCAAAATAATCCTAGATAATTGTTTCAAAAGCTTAGGAGTCATTAATGTAAAATGATCCCTTCAGTCAGAGAAAACTCATATGTAGGACTTTCAGTAGATGTCTGCATGAGGCATCTACTGAAATCTGTATGATTGGGTCCCCCCCCCAAAAAAAACAGGACCAGTCTAAAAGGAGCCTGTTGAGGATAAACTTTGGCCAAGTGAGCAACTGATTGTCAAAACAAGTTTGAATACAAGAAGTGGACATCACTAATGTTATTGTAATGTAAATCTAGTGGTCATGCAAGGAAGACATGATCCAAACACAGGGACTTTGAACAACTTGTAGTTAGTTATTGCTGGAAGGCAGTTAAACCACTATGCTGACCTGCATATTATATGAATATAAAGACAGAGATTTTGCTCTACAGCCCAGTGGAAATGTGCTAAAGACAACAAAGATAGTTCAGGCTTACACCCAGTGCAACAGCAAGAACTGTCGATTTCCAGTTGGGAACTTCTGATTGATGGGGTGGTCTTAAGTAGGCCCCTCCAATAGCAAAATTACTAATACAGCCAACACCCTGTATTTGCACACCACGCTGTGTGTTTCAGTTTACTATTTCGCTGGAGAGTATCTGATGTGTGTACTATTTTATTAAAATTACTTCAGAGAAAGGTGATACTGAGCTTATGGTTTTCTTAATTGTAGTTGGGTCTATTAATCTGTACTCTGCCTGCTTTTTCAGGAAGCTCACATGAATTAAATGTGATAAAGTTTGTGGAATAACTTGACTATAATACATGGCTGTATAACTCTAATTCTACTAACATTATGCATATTTCCCTTAAGCTTCTGGTACACTCCAATGAGATGAAAGTCAAATGCCAATCCTGTCATAGAGCACAGGCAACTGACTTTGGGGTGTGTGTGAAAAGTCCAGTCACAATCTGTATCCCAAACACAGGATTCCAGAGCTATCATTCTGGGAACTTCTGGCAGCTGCTACACTAACCATTAAGGGTGTCTTGAGAGCATTAGGGTTACCAAGTATATTTTCTGTATTCAGCCTTATTTCACACATTTATTCTAGTATATTCCACTTTCTACATGTGCGTGCAATTTAGGCATTATTTCCAATGCAACATTCTTTTGTGATAACTCATAGAATGTAGCAGAATAATCAGGAAATAGCCACTTCATTGAATCTATTTTTTTCTTTAAAAGGTAAACTTTAGATTTATTTTCCATTAAAAGCAACAGGAATATTCTTTATGATTTCTGGCATTTCCTCTATACATTTTCAGAATATAAATGAGAGGTAGGATGCTGGTTTCAGTGTTTTTTAAATTTATTATATAAAAGAAAAAATTAATGCAGTTTTTTGTACACATTTAAATTCCATAAAACAAATCCATAGAAATTAGGATACTGTATGCATGCACTCTGCATTTTCTTTGTTAAATGTCTTTGTTCACAAAAATAACACCACATTTTTTCTTTAAAGCCACTAAAGCAGAGGGAGAACAAAGCATGCAGCACATATACATTTGCATAGTGTATTTTACCTAGCATGCCTTGTAGAACGCTACGCATACCTATAGAACAAAATGAAAGGGACAAATTATTGAAATAAATAACCAAAGGAAAAGCAAAGTTATTTGACAAAGGCATTTTCCCACCACATCAGCAGAGACTTAGGAATAACCTGGGATAACAACAGCCTTCAGAATAGGGGGATTCTTTTTATATCATTTTGCTATAGTTATTTTTTAGTATGTTTCCTATTAATAATATTACTTTTTATTCCCTCCCACCTCTTTAAAATACAGCTAATGGCTTTTATGCTTCAAATAGTATCAAGTACAAAACAAAACAAAGAATCCCTACTTAATATTTTTCCATGGGGACATTTGACCAATATCTAACTTGAGGCTGGGAAAAACATAAACTTTCAGACATCCAAAGCCCAGAGGAGCCCATGAGCTCACCTGTGTGCCACTTGTTACCACAGGAGGAGAAACAACAAAAAAATAGTAACATAAGATGATTCTTAACACAAAGTGAATTCATAAATTTTAAGTAAGGGAATAAAATAAGTAAACACACAGCTTGAAGGCTATGAAATAAATTGCTGGAAAATATCAAGCAGCGAAGTTATAAAGATGAGAGATGAAGTAAATATGATAAGCACAGAACCAAATCCACATACTTCTAAAAACAGGACTGCCAGATTTAACAGTGGGTTTTGTTGTAAGTTTGTGCTATAACACATGTGCTTCTTTCTCCTCAATCTATTTTCATTTATTGGCAAAATATATAAATATAGTATAATTTTGTACTGTACAATATATATTTTTGCTACATTATTTTCTACTGCTAATGCAGAAATAACAACATAGATTTATTTTGGCAATAAAATGCTTTCGTTTTAATAACATCCCAGAAAATATTGTAAGGCATATGAAAAACAGTATGCAACAATAGAGCGTTAATGCCCCTGCATCTGTAATCCCCCTGTGCGTGCGGGATTCACACTGATCCTGGTGACGTGTGACGCGGCATGCAAGGAGGGCAAGAAAGGTCCCTGCATAAATACAGACGGGAGATCTAAGGGTTCACAATGTAACCCAAAATGCTAGAGACCTGCTGCTTTCAGCTCAGTTCCCACTTTACCTTCTCATAATTTCCAGATGAGGAAGAATCAGTGTATTCCCTAATCTATTTTAAATTCATTGGTGACATTTTCTCTCATCTCTCTGTGAACATTTTACATCTACCAAAAAGAAAGTTTCATGAAAAATTATAACTCCCCAAAGCTCAGCACTAGTCCCTCTTATTTATATGTATTTATGGCAAGTAGGAGCTACAGCCCTTAATTAAGATTATCTGATGAGATACTCTAATCTCCTTATAGTACACTCTCATTACATGTGGCATTTGATATTAAATTATCCACTAGTAGATGAAGACATTGCTATCAGAGGATGCTTTTCATTGGAGAAAGGTTCTTTTAACATGAGAAGAAACCATGAAGAGTAATTTTTTAATGTTGTAGCTATCTGCCCATATAAGCCAGTTTTACTAGTTTGATTAGCTAGATTGCTTAACTCAACAAGAAGTTATTCTTAATGTCCATCTAACAGCTCTTGCATTGACTGGTTTAATCATCATTATCATTAAAAGGAGAATTGTTGTTTGCCACATAGACACAGCTAGAGTAAGTAACCTAGTTAACAGTTACAGTGTTGACAGTGTTTCAAGATATAAGGGACTAATAAAACAGATTTTATTACATAATTCCTGTAAAGTTTTCACTTGTGGTTATTAAAGGATGAGTTTTATATAATTAAAAATGTAACATTGTTGTGAAAGACAAAGGCAAATATAAAGGAATAAAGGTTACATAAGCATTTATTTGAAACATTGAAATGAACTTTGTTCCAATTACATAAGAGTTCTAGACAATGCAGATGCATACCCAGTAATTGCCTACAGCATACCCTCGGTGCCCATACAAGTCAAGGATCAAACCACTCTGCGTTTAAACAGCAAGTCTCTGGATTTCTCTTCCTCAGACCTTGAGCTATAGGTGACACTTTTCACACAGAGGTAGTTCCTTTCAGTTTGCTTTGTTCCCTAGGATGGCTTCTTATTAAATTAAACTCACTTCATGATAAGCCATGAGTCAATTCCAAGAAAACCTTACTAATATGGAAGAAATGAAATCGTGGTTAGCGCATTTGAAAACCATGTAACATCTAAAGGGCAGGCATATTTAACACTTTTAAGCACTTAACTGCAGCAATGTTGGCAGAACAGACACTCTAGGACCAGGACTTTTCCCTTTAAAGACGACTGTTTTCTCTAGAGAAGAGGTAGTATATATATATCATTAGAGAGGGCAATTTGTATGGTGGTATTGTGTTCTTTTGTTGTTGTTTTTTAGCAAATATCAAAATAAAATTATATAAGAAAATATACAAGCTTGCAAATTAAGGTTGCCTAGAAAACATTCTTAACTGACATACTGTGTCTCTATATTTTGGGATATGTTCGTTTAAAGATCTGAAGATTGTGAGCTATCTTTTGCCACAATTTCCTTGTCTTCATTCCCTTTTTACTCCCCCCATTCTCTATTATGAAATGTAAGGCCCCCACACAAAAGACAAGTTCAAGTATGCAGGTATGAAAAGAGGTTAACATTCTAAAAATACATTTTGCAAACAACAATAATAGTTGGCGTAAGTAACACATTTTTTAAAAGCGGAACTAATAGTTGTCTCAATTCATTTCAGACTTTAAAATTCATTCCATTAAGAATGAAATGCAATGATTTATAAAGTCACACAATCGAGACTCTTTTTAGGAAAGATCATAAGTGTAATTGATAACAATCCAAATCTTCTCCCCATTAGAGCTATATACAGATGAGGGTGAGTCATCAGTCATTTACAAACACCACTACACGATGTTGTTAAGTGTTAGCATGAACAAGGCAACAGTGTTGATTATGATATTGGAGTGACTTTATAGCCTTGGAAATAAGCACAAGGACCCACAAATTGCATTTCTTCCTTTTCCAGGAGCACATTTCCACATTGTTGGACAAATCTGCATTATTACACATCATTAAAAAATCACAGAATTTTAACATGGACTATTCTATAAGTGAAAACAGCCTCAAACGATATAGAAATATTCCTCCTGCTTGTCATCATTTTCCATTTTGAGTGAAATGAATCAAACATAGTATTTGTGGAATATGTTTTTCCTAGAGGTTCCTGGTATGCTTGGCGGAAATAAAACTTTTGTTTAGTATATATCTAGATTTTAGACATTTATACAAGCAACTCAACCTTTAGAAAGAAAGAAGAGTCTATCTCTTCTTCATTTGGAAGAAAAAAACTTATTATAAGAGGAAGATGAAGGATATGTCAAAATAAAGAAAAATAGTAAATACATCCATCAAAAATACATATTTTACCCTTTCCAACATTATTAGCTTTTGAATAGAACTGCAAAGCAAAATAGGTATGGACTTTGAATGGCAAATAACAGATGACTTTTGTGCACAGAATAAATGGGCCTCCCTCTTTCCGCATAACATGGAAGAGCAAAAGGGGAAAAAGAGAAAAGCTAGAGAGGCTTGAAAAACAAGTGACTCTTCAAAGTTGAAAGAAACGGTCCCCCTGTTGACTAGGAAATATGTATAATACTGTTACAGCTACCCGCCATAAAATATAAATATCTTAAAGTAGTTAAATGACCAAATTGCTAATGCTACTGCAGAAAAAGCTGAACAGCAGTCTATTCTAAATTTATACACCCCACTGCACTCTCTGCAATTGAATGCTTTAATGCGCACAAACAAGAAACCAGGAAAGCAGACAGGAAAATGTTTGGCTAATGTTTTGTTTCTCATGCAAATATGTGCTATACATGTAATAAATATAGTTTGTTTGCTGGAAAATGCTCTTCTGTGCTCTAGCAAAGTATTCAATAATGGAAGATTATATGGTTATTAAAGAGCCCAATGAATAAAGCTCTCTTAAATGTCTTAACAGAAAATTCTGTAAGCTTCGCTAGATGACAAAGAGCTTCACAAGCCAGTATTATATGTCAGCTTGTCCATTTTACTGAGCCCATGTTTAAATGTATCAAATGTTTGAGATGACTTACAAAATTTCAGGCAGCCTCATTATCGGGTAAGCAGGTTCATAACGGTTGCACATACAGTCGAGACAAAGGGAGGGAGGGAGGGACATGAGGTTGATGGGCTTCAAGATAGGAAAAACTGATCAAGAATATGAAACTTTTCCCTAGATTAGGAAACTAATGAATTGGTACATAGTTTTGAGGGCCCAGGTCTTGACATTTTGGAGAAAAATAACGATATAAAATTAATTATCCTTGTTTTCAAAAATTGACTTCAAGGCATTTATTAGTAGAAAGAGACCATTATGTCTAGCTCCAACTGGGGTTTTAGAAAACACATGCATTGTGTCATTTTAGAAACAAGTCTTTTTATAAAGACACGTGTTTCTTGTATAAAAGTCAATTTCAATCATTTCTTGGATTAAAGTCCTTTTTACTCTTTAGGAGATGGGTCACCAGTCCCATCTAAAGACTGTCCACTAGCAATGAAACACAGCAGTCTCCAAACTCTGGAAGGCCCTGCATTACAAGTGCCTCACTCTGTCGGGTTTTTTTTCCTGCAAGAATTTAATATAGTGTTTTAACTTTTCCCAATTAGATTTTCTTGTGAAAACATAACTTTCAGTACCTAATTGTATTATGTCCATGAAAAGCAAACAGAAAGTTGTTAGTTTGATTAAAAACTGTGGTGTAGTGCTACAACCTTCTCTGTATTCAAAGAGAGACTGGGTGAAGTTAGGGAGAGACACCAGCTGTGCTAGTGGAACTCCTGAGCCAGTGTTGGTGAGCAGTGGGATGGATGGCTTCCCATCTGGAGCCCATTACCTTTGTACCCAAAATGTCTGGCCTCATCTCTGCTCTCTGACTGCAGATCTCCAGATGTGTGTAGTTGTACGCAGACTGACAACAGAAGGAACGACACCTCATTTTCTATTTCCTATAACAAGCCATGCTTCAGTTCTCTTGATCATTCTCATTGGTGATAAGCTCCTTTCCCCCTTTATTTTGTCAGCTTCGAACTGGCTAACAGTACTGACTGAACAAAAAGCAAAGTACTTGGAGTACAACAGCTGTGTCAGGAAAAATAAAAATATTAAAATCTGAGGCGATTATAGAATTTCTACATTAGAATTTCTGAGATTTGGGGGCACTATCAATACATTTGGTAAGTTTGGAAGGTCATCCTGGCAACATTAACATATTATTAAAATGTTTATACATTCCAAATTGAAGTGTAAATTTACCTTCCAGCAAATAAATAGCACAACTGGTTTTGGGTTTCTATTGGTAATTTGATTTTCTTATTGGGTTTTTTTTCTGATTTTTCAATTGATTTCAACATGCTCAAGTAGACTTTCCAGTCAATTCACCCAAATTCCAACAGGAATTGGTTTATAAATTGGTTCCAACTGGAACTGGTCATTTGGAATTTCCTACATGGGAAATTATTTTATATGTGCCTTGATAAGTACCCTGAATTACAAATTGATGTGTCTAAAATCTATGAAGAAAACAAAAGGTACTGTTATCATGTAAATGTAGCACTTAAAAATACCTATATGATTGGGCATCTAATACCCATCTAGACTCAAGGGCATTATGTACTTCTACTTAATTCTTGCCCCTTAGATCAAATGACAAAAGCCCACCTGCACAGCAGATACTGTGCTACACTTGCCAAGTTACGATGATGGGTTTATCCTAGCAGTGCTATGGCAAATTGTCAACAGAGGAGTATTTTTGTTTGTTTGTTTCGGCAGCCTCAAAGCCTATGTCGGGAGTCATGGCTGTATCCCCCAGGTGAGCCTCGGTTCCTATGGGGTTTGTAAGTGTCCTGGTATGTGTCAGGGTAATCTTCTTCCACCAGAGGGTAGTGATCTCGGCTGTGCTGCGAGCTGGAAGACAATCGGTTCCTACTCTTACGAGCCCTCTCATTGTGGTAATTTTCATCAGAGGTCATTAGGCTTCGTCTTTCAATGGGAGAGTTCTCTGCAGAATGGTTGCTGTGCCTCATCCGCTGACTCTAAAAATATCAGACAGTTCACTGGTTAGATAAGGTCTGTTTCATTCACCTAAACATGTTAATGCATGTGCAGTAACAAGGTCTGTAAAACAGAAGGTAAATATCTGACCTAATAAAGCATTTTCATACATAAATGTTCTGCTTGGAGTACCTGGTCATTCTTTTTGGAATACACCATATGCTTTATTACTGATAGTTTATGACTGTGAGAATACGATGCTGCCTATTGAAGGAAACATGACAGTGCTCCCTATTGAAACACAGAACTGAATGTTGACTCTTAAATGGAACTTACTCTATTTAGATAGGCCTCATATTCTATCCTTCTATTGCAGAAAAAAATGGGGGTTATTTTATTATTGGGAAGTAAAGTTTAGAATAAGATGTATTATTTGATTTTTTTCATGAGTAAATAAAACTCTTTCCTTCTTAAAGTCACATACTATACTTAACTTCATCTTGCTCTAGATTGATGTTTCTTATAGCTTAAATAAGTAATGAAATTACTATCCACACTATCCATTAAATAATGCATTTGCTTCTGTATCTGACATGGATGTGAAACTTTCATTAGTAGTCTTTCTAAACAAATACACAGTATTGTGGAGCCAGCTAATTCAGGCCTTTATATACTCTTGCTTTCTTAACTGAGGTCTGCAAAAATAATCTTCAAATGTAAACCAAATTCTTTTAATATTATTAACTGAAATTAACATCTTGAGGCAGTTATTTGATGTCCCAGGATATGTTATCTGACTTTTTTTTCTCTCATTTTAGGAGCCCCTGTCTGTGTGTCTACCAGCTTAGGTAGGCGACATTGATTACAGGCAGGAATCTGATACAACCAAGGGTCCAGGTACATGAGCTTCACATAGAAGGGGACTTATTCAGTGGGTCAGAGATCATGCTGTCAAATACCAGTGGTTACTCAGAGAAGTAGGCCGTAGGATAAACGGCACCACATTAACTCATTAATGATGCTGGGATAGCTGCTCTAGGTGGACAGTCATAGGGTTATGTGTTATATAAACAAAGTTCAACATTAGATCCCCCAGCACTACACAGTTTACTGGATCATTCATTCATTCCCTTCATTGTCATTCAGAGCCAGCCAAAGCCAATGGGAATGTTACTCTCAGACAGACACACAGGACGGAAAACAAGGCAAGAAATAGCTCTAGTTCATGCAGACTTGCTGGACATTACCATCGTCCATTTTCCATATCATTTCTAGACTCAAAATAAATTCATTCATTTGGCAGATTTTCTGCTTACAAAGGTGTTGTCTGTACTAGAGTAATGTATTTATAATAACGTTTCAGAGAGTGCCACTTAGCTTAGAGTTAACTCTACAAAATCTTCAATTACGACTATCATTATAACCCATTAAAACAAAACCAGTCATGTTGCCAAGAGGCTCATTTGACTGCATGTTCTCAGCTTGGGGTTTGGATCCATTCCAGCTGCTTGATAAATGGTAAATAATAATTAAAGCAGAAAGGCAGGACTCGTTTTGTATCACAGTGCCTCTGGCGTGCAACATCTAGTTTTGACTGAAGCAGCAGAGCAGCAGAAGAGATGACCTTTCTTTGTGCTTGTCCCCAGAGTGCCTACACAGACCAAGGTGGGCCCCCAGATACCCCTGAGAACTCAGGGATTTGTCACCATTTCCAAATCTGCTCACTCATTCTGTTTGTACAAGGTGAGGGTCAGGTTCAGCAGCCTGTGGAACAAGAATAGTTAAAGGCAGACAAAAGGCCCGTCTATCCTGAAGTATCTTACTTAGCTGTCCTAGGTGCCATGCAGAAGTTGTGTGATCAGTTACACTGACTAGATAGTAAGTCTACCAGAGATTAACTCATCTAAGTAAAATCTATTATCAACTCATAGCAAAATTTTCCTGGAAGGGAAACTTGTAGAGAGGGCAGGCTTTGTCAGCGACAGCTCAAGATCAGCATAAGGTTTATGTTTTTTTTTCTCTAAACACAATTTAAGCTTTATTTTATAAGTATAAATATTTTGCTTGCATGTATGTCTATGTACCACATGGGTGCCAGGTGTCCATTGAGGTCTGATCCCCTGGAACTGGAGTTACAGATGGCTGTGAGCCACCATGTGGGAGCTGGGAACTGAACCAGGGTCCTTTGCTAGGGCAGAAAGCATTCTTAATTGCTAAGCCGTCTGTCTAGCCCCCAGTGTTTTAAAAATACTTTGTCCTTTTCTCATGCTTCCTCAAATTAAGAACAATCAGAGTCTTCATCTTAATTATCTATTGTATCCTAGAAATAAGGTTGCAAAAGTTATAAGGCAAACAAACAAACACGCAGTACCTGTAATCCAGAGATTGCTGTGGGATATGGTGAAAGGGCTGTGGAGCCCACGTTCCGCCCCAGCAGTGGGGTCATGGGGGTGCTACTGCTTGTGTGGGTGGCACGCCAGTATGCCTCCAAGTACTCGCCCAGATGTTCACATGCGTCCTCAAGCTGGTTCTCATCTAATATAACATCAAACATTTCCTGCAGATTATAAGAAAATCCATCATATTTCCTCTGTAGATTTTACTGAAAAGTCCACTTAAGGCATATATTAAATATTTGGATCTTGCGGTAGTTTGAAGTAAATGGCCCCATAATCTCAGGGAGAGGCACTGTTAGGAGGTGTGGCTTTGCTGAAGTGGGTATGGCCTTGTTGGAGGAAGTGTGTCACTGTGGGCAGGTGGGCTTTGAGGTTTCCTGTGCTCAGGATACCACTTCCTGTGGCCTGCATGTCTGCTCCCACACTACCATGCTCCCCACTATGAGGATAATGGACTGAACCTCTGAAACTGTAAGCGAGTCACCCTAATTGAATGTTTTCCTTGTAAGAGTTGCTGTGGTCATAGTGTCTCTTCACAGCATGGAAGCTCTAAGACAGATCTTTCCTGATTTAAAGAGAGAAAGATGAGGCAAACATGACAGAACTGAGGAGCGTGAAAACATGCACATATTCACATTTTTGTTCATATATTCCTGTGCAGCTGAGTTCCACCAATTTCAAAATACAAAAGAAACAAGTTAATGATGATGCCAAAAAAGAGAGCTCTGAAAATGACTGGAGCCATGACCATGCCCTTGAAATGAATATTACCACAGTAACTGTGTTGAAGGTAATAGCAAATACATAGTTCATTTTCAGGATGCTCATGAAAATGATTTTATATATCTCATGAAAAACAATAAGGAAAGAAAGTTTGGCACCGATACTAGAGAACATACACCCACGATGTCTGCTACTATTAGATTGTTTTGTGAAATAGTTAAGAACAGGATAATTTAACTGGGGAAAGAAGCAGTTGATGGCCACATTTATGTCAGTAAGAACTTTGCTAAACATTTACTTAAGAATGAAAAGCAATTTTTGTTCCCCCAAATGGTAGAATGGTTCTCCTACTGTGGCATGGTGACTGGGAGTAAACTGAGGATATGCCCATCAGACGCAGAAGACCTTGGTGCCTCACCAAGAGAATGCATTCTAGAGTGAAGAATGAGCACACCCTGGAGAAGCAGAGGATGGTAGTGAATCTTCCTTCTCCCATCACCTTCACCACATCCCCATTTTTATGAGTTCATTTTACCAAAATAAGAACTTCCAGTAATAAGCCGAATGCATAGTTACTGCTACCAGCATTGACATTGCTGGGTAAAGATTAGTGGCAACAAGAAAACATGGTGTTGGTGATGTCCCAGCTGATTCATTCTGCTCCATACTTAGAACAAAGGATTCTTGTAGCTGTCGTCACTGTGAACTATTTCGTCTCCAGCGTTTACTATTTGTTTAGTTTTGATGCTGAGGGTTGAACCCATGAACTCAGGAAAGCTAAACACATACTCTCCCACTGAGCTGATCCCCCCCAGCATACTATTAAATGCCGATCAAATCACCCTTTACTGACAGGTTTGTACCTAACTGGACAGGAATTGCAAACCCTTATCATAGAACCCTGAAGCTAGTGGCTTCAATCCACACTGCCTCATTTGAGAAGACTCAACCAGGTCAACTTACATAGAAAAATGCTTCCCTTGAACACGTATCAATAGAATTTTCAATGCACATTTCATTCATTTGTGCAATATTTACTCAGCACTTATTTTGTTCCAGTATGTGTCTAACCTTACCCTGTGCTTAAGAGTCATGCCCACCATCTGGTGGGAGAGACAAGCCTTAAAGTGTCCAAACCCTTAATAGTCCATGTCATACCGAGACTGGTTCAGAACTATGCAGAGACTAAGCAAGTTAAGTTTGGAGCTGTGGCTTACAGTTCTCTATTTACACAGAGGTCTAGAGAGACTTGATGAACTTATTAGGAAGGGGAAATGATGAGTAAAATAATTCTGTATGGAGAGGAAAGAAGATAAAACAGGTAAGGAAGACTATGGCCCACAAGACACAGAACACCTAGTATCTAGAGCTTTGGTTGCCAGAAACTCTCACTGAAAATGTCACTTCCCACTAAGTAAACCAAAGAACTTCTGTCTCTTGTCTGCAAATACCTCCTCTCCTGGTTAGCACAAACTTCAGCAAGTCACAAGATGAGACCTGAGACACTCAGAGACAGTGTTTCTCTTCCTTCCTTCCATCCTTCCTTCCTTCCTTCCTCCCTCCCTTCCTCCCTCCCTCTCTCCCCTCCTTCTTTTTTTGTTTTTTTTTGGTTTGGTTTGGTTTATGTGTTTTGTTTTGTTTTGTTGAGACAGGGTTTCTCTGTGTAGCTTTGAAGCCTGTCCTGGAACTAGCTCTTATAGTTCAGGCTTGTCTCAAAATCACAGAGATCCCCCTGCCTCTGCCTCTCTGCCTCTCTGCCTCTCTGCCTCTCTGCCCCTCTCTGCTTCTACGTCCCAAGCGCTGAGATTAAAGGCATTCACCATCACCGCCTGGCCCAGGGACAGTGTTTCTGCAGTGCTGACTGGAGCAGAACAAGAACAACTACAGCCCCAGAGCACCACAGGCTGACTATACGGATAGAACTGGAAAGAGGACATGGGCAGTGCTCACTGAAGGGACCCTCCCAGCTCTAGCCAGTTCCATTGGTTCACGTGTGCTGTGACTTAGAACCTGTTCCTCCTATGGTTGTTGATAGCCACTGTACAAATTTGATTGCATAGGTCCAATCATTAGTATGGGCTTGTTTATTCCCAACAAGACATTAAAGGTCCTTTCTTGGACTAGAAGGATTCTAACAATGTGCTGGTGCTCTCTGTCTCTGTCTCTGTCTCTGTCTCTGTCTCTGTCTCTCTCTCTCTCTGTGTGTGTGTGTGTGTGTGTGTGTTGCTATGCCAAGAACTCAGGGTCACCCACATATTGATCAAATGTTCTTGACTATCTTGAGCTGCATCCCAACACAAATAGTTTTTGACAAAGGTGATAGGAATGTAATAGTGAAAAAAAGACAGTCTCTTCCATAAATAGTTGACAAAACTGGATTTGCCTGTGCAGAAGAATAAATGATCCTTTTCTCTCACCGTACAAGACACCTAATTCAAAATGGATCAAAGATCTAACTAACTCTTAAGCCTGAAGCAATGAAATGAATAAATGAAAATGGGAAATTATTTAAGACATTAGTAGGCAAGAACAAAAATATATAGTAATCTAAATACACAGGCAACAAAAGTCAAAATAGACAAATGGATTCATATCAAAATAAGAAATGCCAGCACAACAAAAAAGACAACAGGATTAAGAGACAACCTACAGGTGAGAGACAATGCCTTCAAGGAACACTGCACACTGACATTCAGAATACAGAAGGAACTAAAAAACGTTGAATGTCAAAAACACTAAGCAATCTAATTCTAAAGCAGATTAAAGAACTACACAGATACTTTTAAAAATGAGACCTACAAATGGCCAACAATCACGTGACAAAAGCTCACTTTCACTAAATAGAAGTACAAATCAAACTACAGTGAGTATGGTGTGTTGGCTCAAGCCTGTAATCCCAGCACACACAAAATTAAGGCAGAAGAATCAGGAGTTCGAAGTCAGCCAGGCAAATCCTAGGCCAGCTTAGGTAACAGAATGAGACCTTGTCTACAAACAAACAAAACAAGGGCTGGAGACACAGCTCTGCACTAAAGTATTTGCTTGGAATTTTCTAGGCTTAGGTTTGATTCTTAATAACAACAAAAACTAACCACTCTTAAAAATACCATCTCACTCCAATTAGAATGGTTATTATCAAAATATAAGAAATAATGGGAACTCTTACATATGCTTGAGAATGGGCAGTAGAAAACTAAGTAGAAGTATCAAATGATCTGAGTTGATGTATTTATATCTAAAAGGGACTTGCACCCTCCAACATCATTGCAATGCTATTCATAATGGCCAAAATATAGAACCAAGCTAGATGCCCTATAATAAATATATGGGTAAAGAAAATGCAGTACAATTACATAATGGGATACTATTCAGATGTGAAGAAGACGGGATAACTAGAGAAGGTGTGTTGGGCAAAAGAATGCAGATGCAGCAAGACACACCTTCTCATTTATGTGTGGAAGCCAGGAAGTCAACCTTGTAGATGGTGGGAACAGGGGGACGGAAAGTTCTGGGGGAAAAGAGACAAATTGAAAGGGAGTTTTAGGACCAGGCAAGGATGATGAGAGAATTGGGGGGGGGGATTCCAGGTTGCAGAAGGGTGGCTGAATGTGTGCAGTGCACAGCATATTGATGAATAGAGTGAACCTCATTAATCGATACAATTAGTGTTTGATAAATAAAATAAAAATAATTTAAAAGGTAAAGCTCAAACCAGACTGCAAGGTGCTGAGTAAGGTGTGTATGTATGTACTTGGCTGTTCCTCATTACCCTGTTAATATGGAAACCGCAATCAACACACAGTTAATTACAAGAAATTTTAGTAAAGTGCTTCCCTTTGCCAATAGGTAGACTTTGTACACATCAGCACAGGCTGTTTGCTTAAGCCTGATCGGTTCTTGAAAACTGCTTTTTTATTGCTAAACAGTGGCTATATGGTATAAAGGATCGTTTGAAACTGCTCCTAGGCTTTCCAAAGCAAAGTGAAAGCAAATTTCACCTTCTGAATGACACTGACTTGCATGCGTACTTACTTCCAACTGGGAAGAATCTCACAGACTAAGTGTGGTGACATTTTTTTTCTACCTGTTTAGGAAATAATACAACTGAATAGAGCAACATACTAGAAAGACAGCAGGAGGGGAATTTTTTTAAAGTATACAAACTCAAAGAGAAATTCAAATGAAACAACTCAATGGATTCTGCAAACCAGCTTTCCCACATTTCAAAATGATTATAAAAGGCATGTCTAATCAGCTGCTTCCCATGCAATTCAGGAAGCCCTTAGCATGGAAAGAGACAGAAAACCATTCAATCAGCAATGCCCCAGTCAATGAACAGTATGTTCCTCTGCTATCATGCCTGTAGTGACCGCCCATGGTTAAAAGGAACAGACCAGGTTCCAGAGAGCTACCGGGATGAACACCTCCAGCATCCCAGGGTGGAGCCCTTTCTGCAGCTGAGGCATGCGGGATCAATGCTGCTAAAGAAAACAGATACCAAGTGAACAGAAGAGTGGAAGCCTCAGGAATGGGTGCAGAGGAGCTGTTTTCTGCATACACATTTTCAGAAATACTGAGGACAGAAGCCCAGGGATTCCTGGGTGGTGGAAACAGGCCTGCCATACACTCAGAGCTCTGCAAAAAGCCAGGCTGGGAGGGACAGGAACCTGTAAAAGGTTTTGATGCTTAAAAGAATACTGAGTGCTTCCCCCCCTCCCTTGTTAAGGAGTTTCATTGGGGACTGAGCACCGCTGCCTGGACTGTCTGTGATAAAGCCAGAAAAGGAGCAAACTGAAATGAGTCACTCCAGGTTTTACAAAAGAAACAGCAGTGTTTGGGCCCTATATGATGAATGGAATAAGTTGCATTTGCTTATGTTCTTTTGGGAGGAAAAGCATACAGGGAATGACTGATAAGTTTTCCTTAATGACTACAAAATACAAACTACTTGCATATCTTGTCCAACATGTTTATCCAGGGAATCATAACTTGCTATTTTTAATGCAAAGCTTAAAAACCCTAGAAACTAATTATAGAGTACATTTTACCTCCCTTTAATCTTAAATGTAATTCTTCACTTTGTGAGTGTTTTTGCCTGCATGTATGCATACTTGGTGCCCAAGGAGATTAAAAGAGGCCATCAGATCCCCTGGAACTAGAGTTACAGATGGTTGTGAGCTCCCACATTGGGTCTGGGAGTCAAACCCAGGCCCAATAGAAGAGTACCCAGTGCTCTTACCTGATAAGCCATTTCTCCAGCCTTTTGAGCCAGGCAGTGGTGGTGCATGCCTTTAATCCCAGCACTCAGGAGGCAGAGGCAGACAGATCCCTGTGAGTTTGAGGCCAGCCTGATCTACAAAGTGAGTTCCAGGACAGCTCAGACTGTTACACAGAGAAACCTTGTCTCAAAATAACAACAAAATGGTCTATTACTGGGTTTTCACTACACAGATCATATGTGTGCAAACTCCATGGCTTATATTTTGCTTTCATTTATTTGCTGTGTATAGATACAGCCTCATCTTTTCTATTTCTAGGAGGGAGTAGTCAATACTATGGATCTGTACACCTCCATTTCTTGGCAACTGCAATACAGAGAGCCCCCAAAGGCACCACCATTTAAGAAGAATGACCAACAAATGCTACTCAATAAAGCAACATGGCTGGCTAGCTCGACACATAATATTAATTACACAATAGCCAACCAGGAAATGTTACTTTCCCATCAAAATTGCATTCTCTGTATTATTGAAGTCTCTATGGTCTTAAGTACTCAACTCACTGCTCAACCACTGATTGAAAACTAGAGTCCTCATTTAAGCATGTTGTTTAAAGATCCAGGAGATCTTGTGTGAATAAAATAAAGCCAATCAATAATGACAGACTCTGGCCTGAGCTCTGCTTTAACATGACAAACAAAAAAAAGGCAATCAGCTCTTGCCACTAACTGGTGGAGCTGACACAAAGGTGAGAATATCGGGACAAGAGAAGCTAGGAAACAAGGAGGACCCTAAGAGAGACACACATGGTCCCCCAGAGAAGGGGAAAGGGACAAGAGCTCCTGAGCTAATTGGGAACATGGGGGGAGGGGAGAGAGAGTTAGGAGAAAGAGAAGGGGAGAAGAGGAAGGGAGAGGAGAAAATGGGGGAGCAGGAAGGTTGAGTCCAGGGAAGAATAGAGGAGAGCAGGATGTGGAATACCATAGAGGGAGCCATTATAGGTTTAAGGAGAAACCTATAATCTGACTCTAGGGAAATGTCCAGAGATCTACAAGGATGACCCCAACTAACAATCTAAGCAATAGTGTAGAGGTTACCTTAAATGCCCTTCCCGATAATGAGATTGATGACTACCTAGAGCCTTCATCCAGCAGCTGATGGAATTAGAAGCAGATACCCACAGCTAAACACTGAACTGAACTCCTGGAATCCAGTTGCAGAAAGGGAGGAGTGATGAGCAAAGGGGTCAAGACCAGGCTGGTAAAACCCACAGAGACAGCTGACCTGAACAAGGACCCCAGACTGATAGCTGGGAAACCAGCATAGGACTGACCCAGACCCCCTGAACATGGGCGTCAGTGAGGAGGCCTCGGCAATCTATGGGGCCTCTGGTAGTAGATCTGTATTTATCCCTAGCCTACAAATGGACTTTGGGAGCCTATTCCATATAGAGGGATACTTTCTCAGCCTAGACACATGGCCTAGGCCCTGCTCCAAATGATATGACAGACATTGAAGATCCCCCATGGAAGGCCTCACCCTCCCTGGGGAGCAGAAAGAGGATAGGATAAGGGGTTAGTTGGGGGCAGGGGAGGAGGGGAGGGAGAGGGAACTAGGATTGACATGTAAAACAATCTTGTTTCTAATTTAAATTTTAAAAATGGAAAAAATAATATAGGAACATTGATTCCTTATAGCTCATCTCCTATTTATGACATTCATTATGAATCCCAATATATTTTCCTCCCCATGTCTTTTTATGCGGCTCACTATTATTCTTCAAAGACTGTAACCACACCAAAAGATACTCAGTTTTTTTGTTATGTTCATGTTAATTGTATGTGTTATAGCATAGCATAGTGGAAGGAACCATTTCCACTACACTATGTCCAGGTTGGTTGCTTAAAATCTCTAGAAATGTGTATACTGAAATTGAACCATGGGAGGTCTTGTTTTATGGGAAGATGTAGAACAGATTACTCTGTTTTTAAAAAGCAATGTTAAAAATTAAATGGGAGCCATCCCAGGACTTTATAATAATGAATGCAGCAATGGGGAGATATGTCAAATAGATGGGTGACTCTGTGAGAGTCTCAATAATTTAAATATTGCTAGAACTGGGCAGTGGAAAATTCCCCTCAGAATGTGTATGCATGGTAGAATGACTTGGAGTCCATTCAGCAATGTGAAATAAAGGATAGAAGAGAACCACTGTGGGTCTCAAAATGTTGGAGGTTTGCAAGCAAGCCTTTGCTGAGAGGATGAGCTCACCTCTCATAGAAAGAGTGGTCAGTGTCAATTTACACACACAAAAAGCCATTACGCAGCTCAGAGAGCCACCAGGTCAGCTTTTGGTAACACAAGCCAACTTGTAACTAAGTGGGATTAAAGGATTATATTTCATTTGTCATCCAATTGTCTACCGGCTTTTCTTGCCAAGCATTATGCAACTCTTATTACTACAGTTCTGGGACAAGTTGAACTTGGCCTTCTTAAAATGCACTATTCTCGACTTCTCTGAAAAGGAAAAGATACCAATACCCGAAGAAGACAATTGAAATCTAAAATTATGGCGTATAGACACACACCAAGAAAACGTAATTCGGCTAGCCACACAATAAAGAGTCTGTGATGGCTCTTACACCCCAGTGCCTGGGGACACTTTCCTGTTTGCATCTCAGTATTGTCCCAGTTATTTTTTCTTCTACCCAGAGCATATTTTTAAGTGGCCACAAGTTCCTTGATCCTCCCTGTTCTAAGATGGAGTACTTTGTCCCCCTTCCTTGGATCTGAGTAGCCGCTGTGACCACTCTGATCAGCTGAATGCTATAGAGATGCTGGGCTGGGCTAAACTGAATCCTTAGGAGACTGTATTTAATCATACAGGTACAATGTGAGGACCAATATCCTCACAAAGAACTCATGATAAAGGCTCTGGACCAAGCAGAAAGGAAGAATTGGCCAAGTCTCTCCTATTCACCCCTGCTGAAAGATCAGCCAGCCATCAAATTAATGCTACCTACTAGCCAACATTTGAAGTCATCATGTTTAGGGTAATTTTATTTTGCAGTAATAGATTTAAAAAAACCTGGCCTAGAAGAGTGCAATTTCTTTCCGTTGCATTAGGTCTGCATCTTGCTTCTACAAAGTTTGAATGGAGTCCAGCCGTTTACATGGTACATGGCTACTCAAAGGCAAAGTTGAATAGTTTTAGAAAGGATACCATTAGCCTCAACAAACCTAAAATAGTAATGATCTGGCCCTTTACTGGATAGAAAGTTTGACCCTTCTATTAAAAGCCTTACCCACGGAACCCACTATTCTCTCTTATGGAGAATATGCAGTGTGCTGGCTGGTTTATGTCAACTAGATGCAACTAGAGTCATTTAAGAAAAGGGAACCTCAACTGAGAAATGTCTCCATAAATTTTCTTGGTTGATGATGGACGAGGAAAGTCCACTTCACTGTGGGCAGTACTATCCCTGTGTTGGTTCTGGGTGCTGTAAGAAAGCAGGTTTATGAAGGAACAATCCAGCAAGCAGAGTTCCTCTATGACTTCTGCTTTAGTTCATTCACTCAGATTTCTGGCTTGAGTTCCTGCCCTGACTTGCCTGGATGATGGAGACAAGCTTATGATGAAATAAACCCTTTCTTTCCCAAGTTGCTTTTGGTCACAGTGTTTTATTACAGCAGCAAAAGCCCTAACATATGTAGTAACTAACCTACTACCATTTACCATCTAGAGCAGTGGTTCTCAACATTCCTAATGATGTGACCCTTTTATAAAGTTCCTCATGTTGTGACTCCAACCATAACTGTAATTTTGCTATTGTGAATTGTAATGTAAACATTTGTATTTTCCAATGGTCTTAGGCACTTAGTGAATGGGCCATTTGTCCCTCCCAAAAAGGTTGTGACCCACAGGTTGAGAACCACTGATCCAGGTAGAGTCTCCCTGGATTAAGACACAAAGATATGCTATCATTACCCAACGCATCTGGCCTTTGGGAAGGCAGCTCACCTCTTCTTGGTCTCAGTTCCCTCACTTGTAAAATGAGAAAACTGGAGCAGAACTGTGTTTCCCTTTAAGTGTTCCATGAAACATTAAACCCACATGCTGTTCTGTGGAAAAAAAAGACCCGCAGACACACTACTGAGAAGCTTGGGGTATCCCTTAGCCTAATGGAGATACTAAGAGCATGGTAGCAAAATTAGGCTTCTGAGCAAAGAAATCTGATGACCTGTGTTACCTTAGCATCTTCTCAAACATCTTTGGATCCAGCATTCTTTTCCCCGTATCAGCTGACATCATCCCATAGAACCCAATACTAAGGTGCATACTGTGGGAAACTATGTGCTCCTTTGCTCTGATAGTTCCTGGAACTAGAATCATCCATCTAGGTACAGAAAGTTAAGTTTTCTTCAGTGTCCTCTGAGAGGTCCCTTTTGAAAATCAACTTTCTATAATATCACTACTAGTGGAATCTGCTGAGTTTGCAGAATGGAGACACAGGCCAAGTAAGCAAGCCGCAGATTCTCCTAAAGGAACTAAAATGATAACCAGTCTCTGGGTGACAATGATAATTACGGTCTTGAAGTAAAGGGATATGTGCAGACATATTTTTAAATTGCTCCGAGATTTTGTAATCTGAAAATTTCTTCATGCGGGCCAACATGGAATGTGTGATTCTTTCCTAGGATGATAAATTTCATGCACACAATATCATGTTTAGAAAAGTACAAGGTAACATTACTTATTCAGACTGCTTGTTGGCAATGCCAGGCTATCTGACTAAATATTCAAAACAAAGATGTGTCTGTCCTGCTAATATGATGGCGGAGGGCTGTCCTCTCAGTACCCTGGCAGGTTGCTATTACTAACATGGGCACAAGCCCACAGTGTTGCTTGTAAGGAAGTATGTGGATGCGTCTATTTTGGGCCCCACCTATCTTCGAGGTAGCAATGCACACTGCATAGGCTCCTGGTGGTCATCCTGGCACAAAGAAAGGCATTCTAAAGAGACTCTTGTAACCTTCTCTTTGTGCATCGGACTACTGAAACAATGGACTCCAAGTGATTGGCACTTCCTCAGGAATCTTTTGCTGGCAGAGGAAAAGGCTGAAGCTCTGGCGTCAGAGGAGGAACTTGTCCTCTAAAAGGAGGTTTTCCACATATGACAGCTTGTAGGACAGATGGCATGGATGATGGGTCAACCATGGGTAGGGTCACACCATGACCAGGAGCTCTTGGCCCTTACTTAAGTGTAAACTTCACGCCGGCGTCCTGAAGGTGGACTTCTTAGGGAGCCACTGATCTCGTCCTTGTTCCCAGTGTGGTCGCACTGAATCATCTTCCTCTGCTTTTCACGACTTGTTTCTTTAGTTGGCATGCTGAGGATAAGTGCCGGGACCCTGCTTGTTACGGCAGCTGAGGCCCAGACTTTGACTCAAAAGCTTCAGTAATGTCCTCAGCAGCTCAAACACCTCAACAGGATGTAAATTATTTTCTCTAGTACTTATTTGGACCAATGGCTAATAAACTGACATCATAAAGACAAAATGTGTTTTCTCCAACAAAGTACTTATATTTCCATTTTTATAGTGACTGCTTCCTAGAATACCATGCCAATTATAACTACCATTCTAAGATTTTCGTAACAAGTAGAAAGAATAGCATAGTTCCCGGCTTTTAGTAGCTGCTCAGTAAAGATTATTTCTCCTCAACTATGAAGCATTACATAGCCAGGATGTCATAGTTTCTCGGTGTTTCATCAAACATTCCACTCTACAAGAGACTTCCTTAGGCAATGTGCCATTAATGTCTTAACGTAAATCTCTGGATAAATCTTCAGGGTGGTAACCTGATAACTGTGGGGGGGGCATCAATAGAGGGCTGTACTTGGGAGAAGAAACTGCCTTGAAGCCAGGTAGATCCACTTCTAATCTCAACTTGACAAATGATCCCAGAAAACTCATTGATCAGCTGTTTTCAGTTGCCCCAGTGATAAAGTGGGCGTTAGGCTGCAGTTTACAAACTCATAGCAAGGATTACAGATAATCTGTAGAAGACATCTAGGAAGCTGCCTTGCCCATGTCAAATATCTAATGAAAGGATGTATCACTGTTCCCGCTTTTCTTGCCTGTACAATCTTTCATTCACTCATCATTCCCGTTAAACATATTTACTACGACAGGGAAGTACAATACAACAGTGAACCCAAGACAGACATCCTCACAGAGTCTAGCAGACTGGATGTGGCATAGCACAGAGTGTACTGACAGCGTGTATCACGTGCCAGGCACTGTTGTCTTCATTTTTCTGCATATGCACACACGTGATTCTTGAATTTTTACCCCAACACTGTGCAGCAGGCATCTTGCTCAGGTTTCTATAGCTCATCTGTGTTTTGAACAGCCATGCTGTGTCACCTCTCCAAGCACAGTTTTTCACTCCTCCACATTGATCCCTTCATCTGTTATAAGCACAGAGACCCTCTACTTGTAATCCAGTTTTGACCTTCAACACTACACTCTTCAATGCCCACCAGAATCTTCTAGAAGAAAAGTTAAAAGAAAGCCAAACTGGCACATTTTATTTTGCTCTTTTCTTACAAGTGTTCCATGATGGGATATGGTGCCTGAGTGCTGGCAAGGTAAGTAAGGAAGTAGGAAGAACAGCGCGTTTCAGACTCTAAGCTCGCTTCTTATGCCTAGGCAGACACCATCCTGTCCTGAACGCCTGAGCCCAATGTAACAACAGCATCTCGCTCCAAGAAACCGCTCACCATCACCACCATCTCTGTAGCAGGGATGTCAACCTTCCTAATGCTGCGACCCTTAACACAGTTCCTCATATTGTGGTGACCCCCAACCAGAAAATTATTTTCATTGTTACTTCGTAACTGTACATTTTCTACTGTTAGGAATCATAATGTAAATATCTGTATTTTCCCATGGTCTTAGATGACCTCTGTGAAAGGGTCATTTGACCCACAGAGAGGCTATGACCCACAGGTTGAGAACCACTGCTACAGACTAAAAGCCATCATGCTAATATTGAAAGGAAATCCCCCTCTTGTTACTAGTCATCAATGATTAAAAGAGAAAAGATTTTTACTTACAGGCGGGCACTGGGCCAGTTTGTCGGCTGCCACCAGTTGAACATTCAAGTGTTTGCTTTGAGACTTTCCTCTGGACTTAATCAGCCGCTGTAAAACCTGACAGAGGATAACAGGAGTCTGAGTCATTGTCAATGAGTTGAAAGAAAACCAAATGCATTGGGATCTTCTTCTACAGCTTATGTAGCTCTGAAGATTAGCAAGGAGGGCCTACAATGTGACAAACTGCACACTTAGAACCTCTGTGGTGATGCCACCCACCTCACTGTGGGCATAGAGAGGACTGGACATGTTCATCCTGTCCTAGCTCCCTGTGGGGTCCTTCTGACAGGCCCACTTCCCACCTAGACTTTTAAGTCTCTGCAGACTTCACAGCCTCCTTCACAGGGAAAGAGCTGCTCTGTTCCTGCTTACGTTGAGTCAATATTTTGATATTATTCAGTTGACTAATATTTAGGTTCATTATCTCCATGCCAGATAAATATCAAGATCACTTATGTATGCCATTTTCTCAATAACTAATGAGACATTTAGTTTAATTTTATATTAATCAAACTATTTGAGGACTGGAAACCTAGGTAAAACATTTCTGTTGGAACGATGCTACACAGAAAACAGACTATATCTTTGCCTTTGGTCATAGCTATAGCTGCATTTGGCTTACACTTTCTCTTGCATTATTTTTGTTTAGGTCGAAGCAGGGCCCTCTCCACTTCAACAGTGCTACTTTATGAAGTTCTGATACCTTAGTGCACAGATCCATGCAAGCCCCTGATCCTCCACCTCCAGAGACTGCAGCAATGGGGTAGTGGAGGTGGGGGTGACCTTAGTCCCATGCAGAGGATGATTGGTACCCCAGCAGCTAAAGTCAAGGACACTTCCAGGTGTGGAGGCAATGCCTGTCTGTTCTGTTCACACCCCAGAATTAACTGGCAGTAGTTGGAATCCCCACAATTACTGTATAGGAGCGGTCCCCTCAAGATGCTGGGAACTTGGCAAGTATAACAAGCCACAGCTTCTTTAGACTTTTCCTCTAACCACAGAAGGGACCACTGTTTGGGTGGGGAATTGAGTTTGCTCTTAGTTAAACCAAACACCTTCTATGAGGCATTGGGAAAGAATTGCTAAGATAATGCCTCACAGTGGATTAAGGGGAGGGTGAAGAGGGGAGGTGAGGGGAGGGAATGGGAAGAGAGGAGGGGTGGGAATCTGCGGTCTGGGATGTAAAACAAATAAATTAATTAAAAACTAATGCCTCTCATGGGTATCTATTTCATATTTATTTTTTAGAACACCATCGCTATTTAAAAACAAAAGGGGGGATGGTAAGAAGGCTCAGTGGGTAAAGGTGAATGCTACCAAGCTTAATCCTCAGAGCCCACATGGTGGAAGAAGGGAACTTATTTCTACAAGTTATCCTCTGACAGCACAAGCGTGCACAGAGAGAGAGAGAGAGACAGAGAGAGAGAGACAGAGAGACAGAGAGACAGAGAAAGAAATAAAAAAATAACTAAGTAAATGTAAAAAAATAAATAAAAGGACATCAAAATCAAGAGTGCAGCCTGGGCCATTTTCCTCTATTCTTGTCACTCTGGTAGCATACCTGACCACCTGTGCTTAACCAAGAAAGAACTATAGTCCCCAAAGAACCCAGCTACGCACAAATGACAAGGTCTGTAGCATTTCTGTAAGGGATGTTTACACAGTGATCTTTTACCTTACATAAGCTAATCTTGTTGAACTATGTACTTCCTCTCTCAACTGGGCAGAGACTATAGGTGACTCAAGAATCAATATTATACAGGAAATTTGCCAAGAGGGACTATATAGCCTGCAACAGGCCAGGGTCCATGTTTTGTTTCCCTTCCTTGTGATCTTGTGTGCATTTTATCATCTCTGATGGCAGGCAGGAAATTCCCGCAGAGATGGATTATTATTCTCAGCTAATCTCCAACCCCTAGAACTTGAGTACTGTTTTAAATACATTCGTTAACTGCCTCTTGAGACATTCTTCTGCCCATGAACTGAAAGGGTAGTGCTAGAGGCCCTCAAGAAGGAAGCTTCTAGAGCCATAGACAGGAGCCCGGTGATTACCTTTGGAGACGAGACTTTCACATGAACAATGATGGGGGCTAAGGACGTTTTTATGAGCTGTGCTGGGTGATTGATGGTGTCTGCATCAAGAACAACCAGTTGCAAAGATCTTGCCAATTCAAAAATTCTTTCGATTTCGCTCTGTACTTCCGCTAAAAGGGGGAACAATAGGAGGCAGGTACTGGTTAGTCTCAATAATCATGATGTATACTAAAAAGAAATAGTATAAACTCAGATTGTGTGTCCATACTGCAGAACATATCTATTATGTAGCCCTGGCTAGCCTGGAACTTGTTATGTCATCAGGATGGCTGCCTCCAGCTCCCAAGTGCTGGGATCAAAGATGGGCACCACACAGTGTCTGCTCTCCTTAAATCCTTTCTGAAGATTAAATTGTTCATAGAATAAAGCAATTGGTAGAAGAACCTGAGCCAGCTCTCTTGGTTTGCATTGTACATCCAGCCTAGCATGGAACTATTTACATAGTTATAGTTATTTCATTTTGGGGTTGCTTTTGTTTTGAGACAGGGCTTCTCTGTAGCTTTGGAGGCTGTCCTGGAACGCACTCTGTAGACCAGACTGGCCTTGAACTCACAGAGATCCACCCACCTCTGCCTCCTGAGTGCTGAGATTAATGGCGTGTGCCACCAATGCCTGGCTTTTACCAAGAATGACATTTAGCAAATAGATTTGAGAGACTGAAAGTGACACTGAAGTGTTTCTGTCAATAACTTATATTTTAATATTCTGTAGACCATGTTTTGGAAGAAGAAAAACCACCCAATAGCTGTATTGATTTGACTGTTATACACATTTTTATATCCTTGCTAATTGTTAGGACTGTCCTCAGACAACCAGTAGATTACCAAGTCAAGCTGAATTTAAGCTTTAGAGCTGGGGGAGTTGTCTAAGGTATATTTGCCAAAAGTATCACACATGCACACACAGGCACGCATGCACGTGCACACATACATGCACACACAGTTGATCATATTAAAATGCTGCACCACATCTAGACTCCAACCTAGCTGGCTGAATGTAATAGATGACTCAAATCTGCACCTTCTAAATGGGCCACATAAAAATGCTAGTTCTTTTCCTGTGTCTGAAACAATTCAGCTGCTTTCATTTATTCTGAGACAGAACCTTGCTATGTAACCCAAGCTGGTTGTGAGCCCTCTGTTTCTACCCCCCAAGTGCTGTGATGATAGGTGTATGCTGCTGTACATGGCTTACAAGCTCTCTCTCTCTCTCTCTCTCTCTCTCTCTCTCTCTCTCTCTCCTGTGTGTGTGTGTGTGTGTGTGTGTGTGTGTTTGAAAACACATGACCAAAGTACATGTTTTTCTGAACTACAAAAGGTCTCAAGTTGGATGTGGTGGTGCTGGAATCCCAATACTTGGGACACTGAGGCAGAAGGACCATGACTTCAAGGTCATCCTAAGAAACACAGAGAGTTTCAGCCCATACTGCATTCTGTATTGTTCTGTATTGATTCTCTGTCTCTCTCTGTCTCCCTCTCTCTCTCTCACACACACATAAAACAAGAACAGCAAAAAGCAAATCCTTTATATACTTTATGAATCACCCAATGTGGTGGGTCATGCCTAAAATCTGAATTAGATTCTACTAAGGGAAAGGCTTTTCATAAAAGCAGAAGTTTCTCATTTCTTATAGAACCAGCAACATTTAATACATGGCCTACACTAAAAAGTATGAATGTAGTGGTGGCCAAGCAGTTAAGAGTACTTGCTGCTCTTCCAAGGGACCAAGCTCAGTTCCAGCATCCACATTGGACATCTCATAATCACCTATACCCCAGCTCTAGGGGGCAAGACAACCTTGCTGGCCTTCTCAGGCATCCCTATATATGTGGTGTATGCACACGAGCACACACACACACACACACACACACACACACACATACACACACCTTCTTTAAAATGTAATTTTAAGGAGTCAAAACATATATCTCCTTCACAGCAATGTCCTGAAAGACTCCACATTGTATTTCCAGTAACCAAATTCTTATGAAATAATAGTCTACATTTATTAGTAATAATAAACATATTCATTTTCTCTAGCATGTCTGAAACAACTTAAAAAGAATTTTTTCTCAAGAAGGGCTTTTGGAAAATAAAGTCAGTTTTCACTGCAGCCAGTTTCAGCAGAAGGAAGATGCAGTAGGTCCTCTATTTGTGCTTTAGTCTGCCAAGGTTTTAAAGGAGCTTCTAGGAAGAACCAGGGCGGAACAAGCTCTTAACATGTTAGTTTCCAGTCTCGCATATTATTATAAAATAATGTAAAATAACGTTTAGTATTTTCCCCCAGGAACAAAAAGACAGCAATACAAGCTGGACTGTCGCAGGACAAGAACCCCTACAAAGCACTCCAAATAGCTGAGAAATGCCTGGGTTTTGTTTGCTCTGCACCAGCAATGAGCTGGCACGTTGGTTCCTAACCTCTACTGAAACAACAGAAGGCCCTGGGCGGCGGCACTGCTGTGTGAGCAGCGGTGGAGCTCGGGGAGATCGGATGAAGGATGAATTACTCAGCGGGGTGAGCCCAGTGTTTAGAAAATATGCAGAGGGAGGGTAATAAGCAAATTGTAGACACAGGGAAGACAAAGGCATTTTTATCTACCTAGCTCATTCTCTTCGAGAAAACCAACAATCTTGGCTCCTCAGACAGGTTCCTAAGGGACTTCTAATGGAAGCTTCTTCATAATTTTGTTACAGGCAGCAAGGCTGGAACTGTCACAGACTCTGGTGCTGGAGGCCCTAAACGAACACTCTTCACCACTAAACTGGAGATGGTGACTGGTCATGCTCCTTGTGCCCAAGTTGGCTCTGGTGTTTGTAATCTGAGACATGGTCTTACATAGTCCAGGCTGGCCTTGAACTCCTGATCCTTTTGACTCCACTTCCCACGAGCTGGGATTATAGGTCTGCATACCCTCATTCAGCTTCCAAAACTGTTACTATTTTTTCCATGGGCTCAAGGCAACATTTCCTAAAGTGACTCCCTTTATTCATACTCCAACTCACCTACAACCTTTTATTGTCCCTTATGGGAGGAATTTAGCAGGTTTAAGTCCCTGCATGTTCATCATGGTGCTCACCATTACTACTGATAGGTGTGATGCTTCTGGGTATACCAGTTGGCCACAAAGAGCATCATTGCCTTGCCCTTCTAAACATCTCATTTCCTTTCATGTCACCCAAGTGTCAGCTATGACAGAAACCTTATTGTGATATTCAGGGAAAAGGAAATGGGTGGTTTCCCATGGTTCAGCAGCCACTGAATAGCAGAACCTGAGAAGGCCCTTTCCCACCAGACTGCTCTTAGCTAATACACTAGACCTAAGAGAAGGAGAGTGGGGGGGGGGTTGGTTGCTACAGGACTCTGTCCCTCTCCTGTCCGTTGGCTGGCTTTCTCTACAGATATTCAACACTTCAAGACATTCCCTACACATACACCCCATGCCCGAATGAAAATGCCTTACCTAAGCTGGATCTGGTGTTTGAACGTTCAATTATTGCTCTCTTGCTGGGATTGTTGAGGACAGACCTCTTAGCAAGAGAAATGTCAGCTGTCACTCTTGTTATTGATATCCTAGGAAGTGGAACACAGAACAGAACAAGCCAGTAAAAACGTTATGTGGCTCTCTGAGGGACTTACAGCTGAAGTGCCTAATAGCCACTTTACATACTACTGTGGAACCACTGTACAGTAACCATCGGCCACAAAGATTTTCAACAGACTCTGGCTCATATTAAAACACAAACAGGGTGGGTGACAGCAGGCTTTGGCTCCTTAGCTGAAAACCACTCCAGTGAAAATGTACTCCCTCCACTATGGCCTGCCTGGTCAAGTTGCCTTTAAAACACGCACACCACACCAGGAGGGAATCAAAACATGAATTAGTCATGATCTTTCTAGGAAATAGCTTTACAGTTTCCTCAGAATTCATGGTTGATTTGCTCTTGAACAAGACCTTCAGGACCCACAAGTGCTCTGCCCCAGCATTGCTGGCCAAAAAGGGAAAGCTTCATTTGATCACAGAAAAAATAAATACATAAAAAACAGTAGGTAGTTAAGTTGCATTTCTTGGCTTAGTAGTTAATCCCTTATACATAAATCTTTTCTCCACAGGCCCAAAGAAGCTTTGCCAGTAAGGATGTGGGAAACAAGATTTAATTTTTTTTCTTTTTTCTTTTTTTTTGCAGGCACAGAAGCCTCAGTGCGGATCTGAGCAAATCTGGTGGGCACTTGAAACCCCAGTAGCTGAAGTAAGTATGAGCATCAGACTGGAGTTAGAACACACCTTGCAGTCACAGTAGCATGGACTTTGTAGGGAGAGAGGGAGGCAGCCAGAAGATGCATTATCAAATGAAAGCACATAGACTTTAAAATAATTTTTAACTGAGACTGCTCAGTTCCCAGCTATTGTCTGTAGAACTCAAAGCTGGCCCACCCAGGCCAATTATAGAAATCCACAGGCCTTCCCCGTCCTCATCTGTGCAGCTTGACTGGGTACAGAGAGAAATCACTTCCCCTTATCCCAGAGCAGACTTGTTCTTCTCCAGGGTCAAACTCCTATGGGGGTTAGAGCACAGAAGGAAGTGTATATTTAATTACATGTCCTCTCACTCCTATGTCAGGACGCTTTAATACAGTCTGGAGACATAGGTGACCAGAAGCTTTGGGAAGAACCCAAAATTGTCCTTTTCCTGAATGCTTAGAAACAAAAATAATTTTTTTAGACAGGGTCTCACTATACCTATCTGGATAACTGAATTCATAATCCTCCTGTCTCAGTCTCCCTTGTACTGGAACCATCAGGACCCGCTGCTGTGCCCAGCTTATAAGTCATGCCTGTAAAGCAACAGTGTGTGCGGGAGTTCCAGCAGGGTTCTGAAGCCAAGTGGTACTGGCCTGGGTCGCGGCATTTGTGAGCTGCAGGTGCTTGGAACACTGCAGCATTTTAACGTTTCGAATTTTCATGCCTTGACGGTTATTCAAGGCAGCCTCAAATTATCCTGCATAGAGTCAAAAGCTGTGCGGAGATTCCCAGGGCCCACTGTGAATGCTAACATGGGTGGTCCTTCAGCTTGTTCCTCTGAATTTCTGTCCTCTACATGGAGCTCCCTCATGATTTCATCGTTTTTAGAGGCAAAGAAACAAAAGGCAAACAGGAAAGTTCAACTTCTAAATGACATCAGCAAACACTGGTGTAACAACTTCTACAGCTTACCAAGGGGGAAACTGAAACACAGAGACAAGCCACTGGCTTATTTCAGGCTATGACGGTCTGAGAGGCCTTGAACACAGATGAGGCCGGTTATGTAGCTGGACAATTCTCTTTCAGTCCAGTTTTGTTTCCCAGTAACAACATGGGTTCAAAGCAGGTTTAAACCAAGAGTGCCCACATCTGAGTTTCCACTGCAGTGTTTTTCTCTGTTCTTTTGGCACAGCCTCATTCTGTAGCCCAGCCTGGCGGCAATCTTGCAGCAGCCCTTAGCCTCCTGAGTGCTGGTGTTAGCTGCCGTGGCCTACTGACGCAGCTCTGAGCTGCAATGTCTCCCAGGAAGCACTCTCTCCTTACACAACAGGGTCTCCCGTTTAACCGGGGCTCCGGGTTTCTTGTTTGTTAAAGAATGGAGCGTCTGGATAGAAACATCCTGTCATAGTCTAGAACACTCCATGTATATGGCTACAGACAAGTGGGCCGACTCAAGGATGGGATCCAACTTTCCAGAAACGATTTCTGCCATGCCAGAATTTCCTAGTTCTTCAGAAGCCAAATACTAACTCCTGGTTCTTACATTTTGGAGAAATCATCAACAAACGTTTTCCCTGGGTCATAAAATCACTTTTTACAAAGCCATGCAAATACGACCGATTTTTAACGTATACAGAAAAGGCTGCTTTAAATGTTAAAAACAGAAAGAACGCTGTGGGTGAAAAAACACTCTTTTTCTCATTCTATTTTCTAATAAAAAAGGACTCCGTTGATAATACACTTCGTCTGTAAGCAAAATACATACACACGGAGTAGAGTCCAGGCCAAGGGGCTGGCTCAGCTCTTGGAGTCTGACAGGGAGACGTAGAAGGCTTTCTTCTGCCATAAGGCTTACTGTTATCCAAACCAGATTCCAGACCTCAGTTCCTTTCCTCAGAAATAAAAGGCCCCTCAACGAAGTGACTGCATTCACCATCCAGTGTTTCCTGATTTATTATGCTTTTAAACTAATGGTACATTTCCTACTTCTCTTGCTTTCCTCATCCACCGGAGCCTCCAGCATTCCCGTGCATCTTGATGTCTTCTTCAAAGTGTTCCCTTGGCAACCTCACCACGGCATTGCCAGTAGATAGAGGCCAACAGGAGTTCAGTCTGCCCCACCCCAAAACAGTGCGTAGCAGCTAATGTCCCTGAAACCCAGCAAAATCCATTCCCTAAATCCACCAAGTCTGGACTCTAACTCCTACATGTTTCTACCTTAGGATTCATCTTAGTTGGTGACGTTATTAGTTTTCTAGGTATTTTCTTAGTTTTTTTGTTTTGTTTTACATTTTTATTGATAGGAGGGGGGAGCAGTAGGCATGCACATGCCAGTGTGTTCCTGGAGGTCAGAGGACAACTTGTAGGAGTTTGTTCTCTCCACTCACCATGTGAGGCTGGGAATAGAACTCAGGACACTAGGCTTGGTGGCAGATGCCCCTGCTTACAGAACTACTTCATCTGCCCTCCTGCAGATTTTCTATGGGAAGATATTTCTTTCAGTTGTGACACATCCATTCAAAAATAATTAGTATTCCATGTTGCTAATGGAGCAGCTAGAAGATCCTTTTCTATTCTGGCTAATTAGTACGAAGCCCAATTCAGTTTTTAAATTCCTAGTGCTCACAGGCAGAGTTTTCCAAAGCAGGATGAACAGGGAGGAAGAAGGAACCGGAAGACTCCAGGGTCTCCTCTAGCTTTCTTTTGGTTTTCATGCTCATGTACAAGTTATAGCATTTTTGACCCTCCATTCCCTTGTCAATAAAACAGTAATAGATTTGTCATTAGTATCCCAGAGTATTATTGCTATGGGCAAAGAAGGCAATCCATAAAACTAATTTTTTTTTACATGACTGTTCTTAGCATTTGTGGTGGTTTGAGATGTCTCCATATTCTCAGATATTTAAATACTTGGCCCCTAGTTGGTGTCGCTGCTTGGGGAGGCTTAGGAGGTGTAGCCCTCCTGAAGGAAGTACATCACCTGAGGCTGACTCTTAAGGTCGCCAAAGTCACAAGTCATTCCCAATTCACTCTTTCTGTTTCCTGCTTATGGTTCCAGATGTGAACCCTCAACTCTCAACTTCCAGTTCTCGTCATCGTGCCTGCTGTCTGCATTGCTTCCCTTTATGGCTGCAGTAGATTGTTAGCACTCTGGAACTGTAAGCCCCCAGTTAACCCTTTCTTCTATAAGTTGCCTTAGAGGGGGCAGAGGCAGGTGGTTGTCTGGGAGTTCAACCCTAGCCTGGTCTATATAGCAACTTCCAGGCTATCAAAGGCTACAGAACTATAGCATGAATTCTAATTGATTATTATATTTAAACCTGGAGTCAGATATTGAGGTAAATGCTGAAAGATCAGAGAAGTAAAGGAACCAGCCACTAGAGAGACTTCTTACCTCTACCTTTCCTCTTACCTCAAACGGAAGGGTTGAGCTCCTGTCTCCTCCCGCCTTATATTCCTCTTTCCACCCAGCCATATCACTTCCTGTCTCCACCTTCCTAGTTCTGGGGTTAAAGGCATTTGACTCCCAATTACAGGGATCAAAGGTGTGTGCCACCACTGCCTGGCCTCAATGGTTAACTTCTGATCTTCAGGCAAGCTTAATTTGTTAGAACACAAACAAAATATCACCACACATAATGAGACCATGCTTCAAAAAAAATAAATAAAGTTGCCTTGGTCATACATATGTGTGTGTGTGTATGTGTGTGTGTGTGTGCGCGCGTGTGTGTGTGTGTGTGTGTGTGTGTGTGTGTGTGTGTGTGTGAATATGTGCAAGGAAAGCAGTTGTTAGAGACCCAGAGACTCTTGGGAAACAGCTTCCTCAAATCTTATCTTCAGAAGTTAGCAGTCCACCACCATGGACTCTCCTGTCCCAGAGCTGGTAAGACTTGTATATACATAACACTTTGGTGAACATAGTGAGACACGGTGTAATCAAAATCTACTAATTTAAGCATTCAAGTTGGCCCAAAAATGTTCCATTATCTCCAGTGTTTGAGGCCAGCACTAGAAGAAAGAACCGTGGTAGGGGTTCAGAGGAAGGACAGATCTGTTTGAAGACAGAGGTTTCCTTTTTCATTTGTGAACTGCAATGGCAAACAGTTTTCACACATACACACAGTGGGACTGCTCTGTGATGTCATCAATTGATGTTTCCTCTCATTAATAAATTCAGTACTAAGTTTTAGCATATCCCTATGTTGTATGCTTAAATTCTTCTCTTTCAAATTCTTTCCCACTTGACAATTTGGGTTTTTTGTTTGTTTGTTCATTTTAGTTTACATGGTCCTTGAGTAATAGTTTCCTTTATTTTAGGACCTTATCCCTGTAGGCTCTACAGTATTTATTTATGATTTTAGGACACAACATGATACAACAGAGCTACCCAATAATCAGGAAAGCTAAGGCTGTCTTTATGGAATCCAGTGCTGTGTACAGTGAATACATGCTAATAAAAATCATTTTAAAATAATAAAAGCCTAGGCGACAACTTTTGGGGGACCTGAAATCTGAGGTGTAAGTCAGCGAGCTCAGCTGGTGAGATAGTTGCTAGCCTGATGGTGGTGGACAGCTGCACAAACCTCAACGGAAAAGATGGCTCCCTGACGGTGTTTGTGGTGTGTCCTGTTGTTGGCTAAGTGCCGCTGAAGCAGATTGTCTGGCTCACTTGCTCCATAATCCAAGGACAGGAATCAATCCTGCATGGGGACATTGACAGTAACTCCTCGGGAGTTACTTAGTACTGCGTTGTTTTTCCATTTTTCTTCCATGTCCTGCAGTCAGACTCAAACAAACTGAGTGAGAAATAGGTCTAAAATGACCCATGCCTCCAAGGAGTCAAACGGAAAACCATCCAAGCTTTTGCTTCTGTTACAGTCTACTCCAGTGAATTAATTTTGAATTGGGACCTGAAAAGCAGTACTGAATTAAAAGGCCTCTTACCTCATGGATTTCTTATTTGCCTTTCTTAAAAGCGTGGGCCACTCTCCTGACTATGGTGTCTACCCTACCGCAGTCACAGCCCCCCCCCCAAAAAAAAAACCACTGAACAGGCTTCCGTTAGGCCATACTGTTCATGCTGCTCCATCGATTCCGTCTTCGGTGTCATTGTTCTCTTGGCTGACTTCAACTAAAGACTATGTGCTGTGTTCCCTCCTTTTATCAATTGGCAAAAACGCAACACAGCAGATTGTCACAGCTCAAAACACAACATTCCCCACACAGAAGATGCGCTAGCATCTGTGAGAAGCTCCTGGCCAGCTCCCTCCTTACCCAACTGTCCTCGGTTACTCACCAGTGGGCTCACTGGTTTCTCCTGTGGCACTTTCCTCTCATCGTCCGAAAGCAATTTCGCTCTCTCAGTCCCGCCCTTACTACCTATTTCTCCCCAGAACTTCTATGCATCAGACTTCTCCAGGCCTGCTTCCGTATCCAGCTGTCACTCTAGCTGCTGTTGGGTTCCCCTCCCCCAGACTCTCTGTCATCATCAGACCCAGTGGAAAGTTGGCATTGGGATTTTAACTCTATCTTTAATTTGAAAGAAGTTTCAATGGGGAAGATACAGTGACTGAAGCAGATAGTTCTACTTGACTCGGAACAACTCTAGGCGGCAACTTAATGAGCATTCTCTTCCGTGGCCTCAGGGTTAAAAACACCGCCTGCTCTCCCGAAGCCGTATTTCAGACTTTCAACCTTCCCTTTGCCAAACACTCCAAAACCGTTTCTTCAGCCTCATCAGTGCTTTTGACCTTTAACGACATTGTCGTGGGGTGGGGTGTGCTTACATCAAAGGCTATGATGGAATCAGAGGAGGGGACACCACTCAGGACAGCCTGCAGGGAAGGCATTCCTGACTAAAATCAGTGAGTCCACACAGAGCTGAAGGAACTGTGTAAATGTAACCAGGAACAGGAGACCACTCATGTTAGCTGCCTCCATCCACAGAGACATGTGTGGGGCAGGGTTATGGCCCAGAACACCACCAGGACAGGACGAGATCATTACTGTTAAATTAGAGTCCAGGTTCAGCTGTTTCTTTGCAATGCATTTTTAGGACATGAATTCCCTAGTAGCTAGGACCTTGTAGACCTGTCTTCTGAGAGAGAGAGAGAGAGAGAGAGAGAGAGAGAGAGAGAGAGAGAGAGAGAGAGAGAGAGAGAGAGAGAGAGAATAACCATGCCTGGCAAACTATTTTCTCTTCATCTGAGGTATATAGTTAAATTGTACTTCCCAGAGTCCTTTGCAACTAAGAATGGCCACATAACCAAGTTCTAGCCAATAAAATCAGCCCTTATGTGCACTGTTTCCAGGCCCCTGAGGCCCTTCCCTGTTAGCATATGACTTGAGAGCTCAGCCAAAGGCCAAGGGCTCCAGATGGAAGGTGAAGCAAACATTCTGCCTGAGATTCCCCTCCCCACCTACCTGTTCCTCCCCAACAGGAATCCCTGTCTCCCTCCAACCATTTAGTGAGTAAAATTAAGCATCCAGTGTGCTCAATTCACTGTGCATCTAGGGGTCTATTACTAAGGTGACCTGGCTCTACATTCATTCATGTACCTGGGCAGACAAGCATTCCCGTTTCCTGAATAACATTCTCAATTACTGGAAGTAAAATCTCAGCTTTGTGCACACCTGGCTGCTTGCATGTGTGTGATGCAGGCGTCCATGCTGGAAGACATGGGGAATCCTGCTCTATCACTCTATACTCGTTTGAGACAGTGTCTCTCATAAACCTGGAGCCTGGCAGCCCTAGAAATGCTCTTATCTCTATCTGCACAGCACTGGGGTTATAAGCATGTGAGAGGCAATGCTGTGCTTTATGTGAGTGCTGGGTATTTGAACTCAGGTACTGGTGTTTGTACGCGCAGTGAACACTCTTACCCACTGCACTATTCCTTGAGTCCCTCTGCTTCTTTTCACTGCCTCCACTCTTAGAAACCAGTGACTATTTTCACCTGGATACATATAAGAGTTTTCTTTTGACAAATTATAAGTGCACAAAAATATTTGTATGAAAGTACATATATCTATACTTAAGTTTTATATACACACAGTTTGTGCTTAAAGCATGATCATGTTTGCCTTTTCTTAAAATTAATTAAGCCCTATAATCTATTCAAAAATATTTAAACATTTTAAAAAAATTATTCAGTTTAAAGTGATAATCTCGATGTACTGCCCAGGTTTCTCAATGTGCACTACATAAGTTTGCTTCTGATAAATCTTCAGTTTCTCTGGGTGGCTGTTTCTACATGGAACACATTCCACATTGTGAGCAATCATGTTTTCATTGTTGAATCAATACAGATTTTTATCACCTCTCTAGAAAGCTTAAGAGCTCTAGACATTTTCCACAAAACTGAAGCATCAGCTTACTGATGATGGCATACAGAGGGATACGTGTAAAACATACCTATAAAATAACAAGGTTATTTCTAAACATAACATCCAAATAAGTGCAGTTTCCTTCAAGAGTCACTCCAGAAGGCTATGGCAAAGCAACGATTGCATTCCTCTTTTAAGGAAATTTATTTATTTATTGGAAGTTATTTCCAGCATTTCATTCCTGCAAAGTGCTTTATATTTAGACCTTCGAATCACACACACATGGATACATGCATGTACATACATGCATACTTCCCAGACACTACCCAGTATGACCAGTGAACCATCATATTTATCAAAAATATATATTTAAACCAATTTCTTCATGAAAGTCAGTTTGGTATGAACTTATTAGTAAGTGAGAAAATAAAGACAAACATACATTATGCCCAACAAATAGATTAATTCCCTTTTCATTTTGTCCTTGGGGGCCGTGTGCAATACTTCATATTTCATAGAGTTTTATAGTTGTTTCAGTGAACACTTTCCTGGAATACTGAGTTCAGTTTAATCACTGGACTTCTGTAATCATTTAGAAACAGATCCACAAATCAGTCTATCAATCACACTTGTTCAGTCAAAGAAAAGTCAAAATACAAAAACATCTGTATGTCTCACCTCCCATCAAACCTGTGCTTCAGGAAATCAAAGAGGGCTTTCTGCATCATGTCTGTTACCTTTGCAGAGGTGAGAAAAAGAGAACGAGGCCAACACACGGAGAGAGACAAAGGGAGAGAGAGACACACAGAGAGAAGTCAATGGTGAGAGGGGTGGAACGGATGGGCACGGTGTCTGAGGAGGGACCCCATCACATCCAGGCATCTCCAGAGGGCAACTCTCAGAGGGCAGGCATTCATGTGAATTAAACACAGTTGCCTTGTTCCCTTGGTTCTTGTCCTGGGTGCTGAGGAATGAACCTATAATTTTCACCAGGACCCCAGGCAAACCCTCCTCCTACTTCCCTTGGGATGTAGATCTACCTCAAGGAGACTGTAAGCTGGCAGGGTTATGCTTGCCTCTAGTGATGAGCAGTGGGTAGTCCCAACATTAGCTCTGGGCTCAGCGACTCTGCCAGCCTGAGCATGCTGGGAATTCTCCCTAGCTGGAACTTAATTTTTTTGTACATAATTTTTCTGCTCATCACCTGACATTTCCAACTCAGAGAGAGAAAGAGAGATGAAAACCTTAGATCTGCCTCGGACAGTTGCTAGCTCATTCAACAAATGTATACTAAATACCTCCTTCCACTAGACCTCATCCTAGGGGGAGGGACAGTTAGCCTGAAGGCTGCCCAGATTCAGATTTAAATCTCACACCCCACCTTTTTATCCATTCGAGCATAAAGTCAGAATGGCAAGACCTGAGATACCATGCAGCATAGCCTTTACTCCTCTTTATTACATGGCAGTGTCTAATTGCTCTCCAGAGTTTAATCTACTTTCTACTGGTTTCCCCCTCCACCTGCCTTCACATACTATGAGCTGCCTCCTACCACTCCCCATCTGTAAACAGACCCTGGAAGGGCCAGATTCCAAAGGATAGTTCCCAGGGTTCTTGGTCAAGAAAAGGAGAGTAACGGATGATATTTGTACCTCATAACCTTTCAGAGATGGCCCCACTAACACCACAGGACGCATTGATGGCACCACATCATAAGGAGGAATGTGCTCCGTCTGAAAAAGACGAGTCGACACGTGTGAGAAGGTGAGGCTGGCCTTATCTCATTGACAGCCACAACATCCAAAATTCTCAGGCTGGACAGGAAGTGACGACTGAGGGTCCCCACCAAGGAGGCCCATCCCTCACTTTATAGGTATGTGGGTCACGCAAATGGAGCATCGCAGGCATGTACAGATAGGAACCTTAGCAGGAGTTTAAAAAGGAAACACAACTTACCACTTTCTGCTTCTGTTTTGCTAAAAGACAACAATGAGAGCCACATCAAAATATGCAATCTCTGCAAATGACAGCACACGAGTTTAAAAGATGGGGAAAGATGCCCTGTAACTGTCCTCCACGCTTGCCCTGATTCCATTCAGCAGATCACTGTCCTGCCCCCTCACTCTGGACATCCTACTTGTGAGAACATGAAATATGGACAGCTTCCTCCCTGCACCACGGTTTCCTCCCTGCACCATGATTTCCTGTGCGAGGCTGGGACAGGCACTCAAACAACACTGGGCGTTGTTAAGTAACCATTAACTATGGGTGTAACCACATTGGATATGGTACATATGAAACTGAGGGCAAGCTGGCTAAAGGAAATGTAACAAAAAGAGAAACAGTACACCATGAGTAAAATTACTATCACCTCACACATTGCTATTATTGTTGCTGTTGCTATTGTTTTGTATTTGTGAGTTTGGTGAACCATGAGGTAGTATTTCAGGTCTTAGGATATTTCTCCTGAATACTGATACATCTGTTTCTACTATGCTGCTCTTAACACTTGGACAGCAAGTTTCCCCTGTCCCCTCCAGCTATAGAGTGCTGCAGTGTCCCTGGATCCAGCAAACACACAGAAGGCAGAACCTATTCCACAACCAATGAAGGTGGCTTTGCTGCCATCCAAGCATCAGGTCCTGTCTACATGGGGTCACGTAAAGGGAAAGGTTGGTTCCCAGCCCTGGAGGCCAGAATGAATCCTCACAAATAAGGACCAGGCCCTTAGAACTGTCCCAGAAATCAACCCAGCATTGACATGAGTTGCAGAGCTTTGGCCTGCTGTCTGAATTGGTGACATCGAATGCTCTGATTCAGCTTCCATTCCTGGCAAGAATGAAACTAGCTTGCGGGAGTTAGAGAATGTGATGGAAGAGAACCTTCTAGATTATCTTCATTATCTCCAAAGGCACTCAGAGTCTTCCTTGAGATACCCTGTTTCTTCATTGTGTCAACTCTAGAACTCAGCTGGGACTGTCTGATGTCCAAATATAAAGACAAGGTAATCTTGGCTGCAGGGGGGCGATAGCACCCCCTCCCAGTATGTACAACCTGGTTCCAATGTGCATACTGAACATTGTTGTGAGAGTCCATGAGCTTTTATCTCTACAGGTCTCACAATCTTGAAGTATCTTGAGTTCTTGGGTAGAATCATGAACTTGAGGTTGATTTATACAAGTAAAGCTACTGGCTATATAGGGAGTGAATGAGGTTTTCCAAAATTATACTGATGACCTGAATTTTTACATAGTTAGTACCTTTCAATTCAAATGAGCAAGGAAGTCTTAAATACAAGAAGCTTTAAATCTTAGGTCAAGCCTTTATTTACAAACCGGTATGAATGTCTGCATACGGGCTCAGATATTTAGTAGCAAGATGGCTCACCTGTTGTCGTGGGGGTCGCACGAAATGTTCCTGACACCATTTCTCCCAAACTGGAGGATGAGTTTCCACTCGATTTCCTAGACCATGGAAACAAACTTAAGAGTCTCGCCTCAGATCCTCTGAAAACAGAAACTGAGAATCCAAGGTGTTCTTTGGCCTTCTACTAAATAATTCAAAACATACCAAAGCCTGTTGGAAGAGCTTCGGGAATCTGCTCAAATGCTTTCGCTGGCCTCATTTCTCAGAGAAAGTGGAGCTCTAACTGAGACCTGGAAATACTTGGCAAATTCTCTTTCCCTGTTATTTCTGCAAAAATTGTGCAGAGGGACCCCTGGCAAGGATGCAATTTGGAGATGTGTGTTTACCTGAATCTAAGGACTGAAGTACCAGTCAGAGGCCAGACAGCTCAATACAAGCAAGAGGACCCAGAGAACTGCTTTCTAAGTGTTTGGGGTGGGGGTGTCCCACAAACTTCCTTCTGTTAACAGTGATGGGGCCATAAATAGTAAGTCATGTGTGTTTAAAGCCCAATGATGAGCAGTTCTGTCACTCACTGGCTGTGGAAAACTCGGCAACACATCGTCGAGTGTTCGTTTTTTCCCATCTATGGACATAGGAGTTATCTGTACCTTACAGAGAGAAGCTGGCAAATGAGCTTCTGTGAATGAGCCCCTGGTTTTCTCTCTTGCCCTGAAGTAAAAAAGTGTGTGTGTGTGTGTGTGTGTGTGTGTGTGTGTGTGTGTGTGTGTTTTAATAACAGCAACAATGGTGGGAGATTATTACTGAGCCACTTTCTACTAGGAGACAATCAAGGCAAACAAGAGAAATAGGTAAGAACCTAAGATTTCTGAGAGTAGTAAGTATAATAGAAACAGCTTAGCTGGAAAAGAAAAAGGCAGGGAAAGGGTGAGTCTGGTGTGGATACAACTTAAAATACAGTGGGGAAGGAAGGAGTCACTGGAACAGCCACAAGCACCTGGAGGAGATGGAGTGAGCTGGTAACAGCAAAGGAGGAAGAGGTACCCAGTAGGAAGAAGGAAATGCGAAGACCCCCAGGAAGGGCCAAGTGTTCCTGGTGTGCTAAGAAGCATGCAGGATGAAACGTCTAGAGCAAAGGGAACCAGAGGATTAATAATAAAACACCCCTAGCAGAAGATTACTCATTAGAACAGTGCTTAACTATACCTCTGCGATCTTCCATTGCTACTGAAAGGTTTTCATTAGGATAAGAGCTAAGGGAGACTTAAATAACAGAAAAGGTTTTTAATAAGAAAAATAACTGGGAAGAGAGATTGAATCAAAGGAAAGAACTGTTTCAGCCAGACATGGTGATGCACACTTGTGACCCAGCACTAGAGTATGGGGCTGGGGCAGAAGAATTGCCTCACCAAAGGCAAGCCTGAATTACACAGTGAGCTTGTCTCACAACAATGATAACAGCAGCAGAACTTGCTCTATCTGAAGGCTTCTGAACAATTCTAACACATATGAACCCTATGCCTCGGGGAGAGTAGCAGCACCACTGAGATCCAGTGCACTCAGGACTTCTCTCAAGCTGTGCTCACCCTCCTGGGACCTGCTGCTTGTGCTCTGAAGTCTTTGTGGTTTCCTTTGACCACTGGGGACCTGCTGGTACACTGCAAATCCCCAGTGCCTTCAGCATGGTGTCGGCAGAAGATGACGGCCCAGAAAACCAAGCACAGAAAAGTGTGCCCAGGACTGTCCACCACCATCATATGCTGAGTTCATTGGACAGAGCTTTTGACCGAGAACCAAGCAAAAACCCAACACTGGGTCATGTCAGCAGCTGCCTGAGCTGTCCTGAGAAACGAGGCCCCGTGTAACTCTCACAGAAGGAAACTAGGGTTTGTAGATGGGCTTGCTGAGCCCACAGGAAGCAGTTGCCACTGTGGAGTTCATGTGGATTTCTGAGTTGCTGGAGTTCTGAACACAATGGAAATAGTTAGACCCCAAGCCGTTGTGTCCTCTTTCATTGGGGTGAAGGCAAAGAGAGTCTTAAAGAGCATGTTTCTGAGATAAAATAGAATCCAGCTGAAAACAGAGGTTGAGTTAAAAGAATGAACTGCTTCAGCCAGTTTTTAATAAGAAATTTGAAAATTTACCCATGAAATAAAGTAAGGAAGGAGGGAAGGAGGGGAATAAAGGAGGAGGAAGGGAGGGGGGAGGGAGGGAGGGAGAAAGAAAAGGCTAGATCATGGAGAAGATGGGATGTTACCCGCCATGGAATCGGCCTCTTTTCTGTTCTTGCTGGATGCGTATGTTCTCCAACCGCAGTGGACTTGGGATGAAGCCAATCTCGCAGCCCTCTTTCACCAGCCTTCCTATCCACCAGTCATTGTTATATTTCTGCAAAGAAGAGAGGAAAGCTGCTATCAATAGTAATTCAGTTATCCTCATGTTCCAGTGTTCATGTCAGGGAAGCAGAGGGATCAAACGCTATTCGTCTGATGTAAGATGCTACATTACACATACAGTGCATGGAGACTACCAACACTGCTTTTGTGTTTTGTAGGAAATGTTTTCAGTTCACAGACTAAAGGAACATTCTTCAGGGGTTTTGTTTGTAATGGCCTGAATGGTAAACATAGTCTTTGCTGTAACTCGTGGATGCTGCTGTCCTACTGTGAGAACAGTCACAAAGACTCAAGAGTGTGTGTCTCAATGTAAGTGTGCTAACAGTCTGTCAGCACAGTCTTACTCAGGGTATCAGCAAAATCACATTGGCAACTATTGCTTTACTGAGTCCCAGGGCAGACAGCAGTTTAGTCTAAGCTGCCTGCCTCAAGAGAATGTTTCTACTGGTAATTTCTAGAAAATAGATAGAAATCATATTGTATAAGCCTTCCAGGAATGAGTACAAAGGTGCCGTGCCTTCATGGTCTTTATCAGTGTTGACAAGAAACTCTTTTCCTCTGTGTGTGTGTGTGTGTGTGTGTGTGTGTGTGTGTGTGTGGTGTTACATACCAGCTCTAGGATTCACACAGAGGACAGTGGAATTTACATAACTCTAACACTGACATCATGACAAGGAAGAACAAAAGGGTCACTGAATCATCACGACATGAAATTCTGAGTAACTCGGATAATTCTCAGTAACCATCTCATATTCAGCCCTTTCTGCACAGAGCTCCTGCAGAAACCAGGCCTTGTGCCCATCCTGAGACTGAGTTGAAAGGAGCAATGAGTTGATGTGATGGAGAACCTTGAACAATCTGACTCTTAGTTTCCTGTCTTTAATTCAGGAAAACACACCTGAAACAACAGGCCTGCTTATTTTATAATTAAGAAAAGGCAAGTGGACCCTTTTGGACACTTTGGTGCGTAGGTTTGGAGTTCAATTTACTGTGACAGGGACAACAGACTATGAATCAGGTTTCCCTAGGGCTTCAGTTGTTTCCTGAAAGTAAGTCAAGCCCACTGGGACACTAATTTGTTAAGTTGTACCCCAGTGACCTTAAGGGCTGTTGCCTAAGATGGCTAATGCAACTCCCCAAAAGGGTTCGCTGTGGTTCTGGGAAACAGCTACAGAACACTGAGCCTCTGCCTCAATGTGAATGACACTTCTCTGGCCATGGGGGAGAGAGGCACTGTGCAAAGTCACCAGCTTCAGTTCTCTCCAGAACAAGTGCTGGTACCTGAGAGATTGCACGAAAGGAAGGGCTCAGCCTGGTAGAAGCATGCCTGTCCATGTTGCTGGTGTCCCGGGGACTGAGCTCCCTTTCTGGGAAGACCCCCTTAGCATAGCCCCAACCTTCCCTGGTTTGCTTTTGATTTCCCTAAAGTGATTAGCAAGCTCTCTTTCTAAGATGTTTTTTATTTGATCTGCAAGACGTGAACACAAGAGGCTCTGACCCAAGTGTGATCACCAGATCAGTAACTACACTACAAAAGAAAAAGGAGCTGTCACACTGAAGGAAACCCCTTGATCAAGAGCTCATAGACCCCCCAAGCTACCAGCAAGACACATCAAATACCGTCAGGGCAGCTCAAAGGTTCCACACACAAAGAAACTATGTGGAGATGCAAGCAATTGTTACTCCAATCTGGACATGCAGACGGCATACATGTTTCAAAATGCCATGCTCTACCTCAGAAAACTTTTTTTTTAACTTTAAAGAGCTGGAAGCGTTAACCATTCTGATGTCATTGTGACCTGCTACATGTATCTGATGATCACATGGTATGTCCAATTAAAATAACTGTTAATAAAAACTAGAATACTAATGCAATGCACAAAGCAATAACACTGCAAGGTTGGAATGTCACTGTCATAAACATGTGAAAATGCCCCTCTCTCTTAAAGGCTGCTTCTCCTTGGTGAGTTCTGGCAACTCATGAATATGGTTTAGTTGCTTTCGGTGGAAATAAGGACACAGATTCAACCACTCAGACACTGAAGGGGTCACAGTCCCCCAGACACAATGTTCCCAAACATAATTTCATGGCCATGTCCACAGCTGCAACATCTGGCCCTTCTGCCATCTCTGTTTCAAAAGCTGAATCTAGAGGTTTATCCTACTTCCTGTAATTCCAAGAGATTTTGAAAAGCTGGCCACTATTCCTTATTTCTCCTCCCCACCTCACTCTCCCTACTACATGCAGTGGAGTGACACCCCACATTTCTCCTCCCCACCTCACTCTCCCTACTATACACAGTGGAGTGAGACCCCACATTCCTAGCTGGCCACCATCCCTTATTTCTCCTCCCCACCTCACTCTCCCTACTACATGCAGTGGAGTGACACCCCACATTTCTCCTCCCCACCTCACTCTCCCTACTACATGCAGTGGAGTGAGACCCCACATTCCTAGCTGGCCACCGTCCTTTATTTCTCTCTCCCTCGCTTTCTCTACTATGCATAGTGGAGTGAGACCCCCAGTTCCCCTTTGCCCACCATCATAGTTCCTACTCCCGATACAAGCCTGCTCACGTGTCTGCTTTATTCCAAATCCCTTTGCAGCCGACATCAATCTTCTTGCTCTGGCTAAGGCGTATCTTTTAAATCTTTGGGCTGGAGATAACAGCTCAGCTATAGTGTTTGCCTGGTATGCATAAGGGCTGACTTCAATCCCAGCACAGCCAAAAGGAAAGCTGCATCTCCTGAATCGCTGGCACGGGTCTCTTCTCTGTTTCACTCCTGCCCTCTGGCCATGCTGCGATGCTTCTGGCTGACCCTCCCCTGATGCCACTCTGTGCCCAGTTCTGCCTCTTCCTTCATACTGATGTCTCCTCTCTGTGTAAACTGCCAGGACACCCATCCAATTTTTTTTCTGTTTGATATTTTTTAATTTAAATTAGAAACAATCTTTTTTGTTTGTTTTGTTTTGTTTTGTTTTGTTTTGTTTTGAGACAGGTTTTCTCTGTATTGTTTTGGAGCCTGTCCTGGAACTCGCTCAGTAGACCAGGCTGGTCTCGAACTCACAGAGATCTGCCTGTCTCTGCCTCCTGAGTGTCGGGATTAAAGGTGTGTGCCACCAACGCCCAAATTAAATTAGAAACAATCTTATTTTACATATCATTCCCTTTACATATCATCCTCAGTTCCCTCTCCCTCCCATCCTCCCATGCCTCCCACTAACACCCCCCACCCCCACCCCTGTCCCACTCCCTATACACTCCCCAGGGAGAGTGAGGTCTTCCATGGGGGGGATCATCAAAGTCTGTGGTATCATTTGGGGTGGGGCCTAGGCCCTCCTCTGTGTATTTAGGCTGGGAGAGTATCCCTTCATGGAGGAATGGGCTTTCAAAGTCCATCCATGCACTAGGAATAAATACTGGTTCCACTGCAAGAGGTCCCATAGACTGTCCAGGCCTCCTAACTGTCACCCAAGTTCAGGAGCCCTGTTTAGGTCCTATGCTTGTTCCCCTAGACTTAGAGTCCCTTGCCCATTCTCCAGTGCTAAGCACAATGCCTGATACCAAACAGAACTATACCTGAGCACAAGTCAAGCTTCTGCTGTTACTATTTTGTTCTATACCTTTCTATATATGAGACCCGTGTCCTTCTTACATGGCTCAACCCTTCAAGCTCTCTTGTTTCCTAGAGTTCCCTGCCCTCTCTTAGCTTTAGCAATTTAAGGCCACAGTTCATAGTGTCTATCATGATAGTATCTGTCTGTAAAAAGTCTCTCCTGGATCCTGCTTTGCTACGAAATGCACGCTTCCTAAATTATATTCATAGATCCATGGGTCTATAGTCCCACAGATGGGCTGGCTATGTAGCATACACTAGACTCTGGATTTGTTTCCCAACACACACACACACACACACACACACACACACACACACACACACACACACACACACACACACAGAGAGAGAGAGAGAGAGAGAGAGAGAGAGAGAGAGAGAGGGAGGGAGGGAGGGAGGGAGGGAGGGAGGGAGGGAGGGAGGGAGGGAGGGAGGGAGGGAGGGAGGATGGGAGGGAGGGAGAATGTGTGTGTAGTGCAAAGTCCAAAACCCATTGCATCATTGCCAATGTTGAGAGTGCTCCAGGGTTGGAAGCTTGTGGCAATGCTTAGCTTGGAAATCTCAGTGAGGTGAAAGGATGTAGGGCCCCGGAGCATTAACTGAGGCTCCACACCGGCAGCTCCTTGGGTCTCCTCTCCTGTGGTTTGGCTCAGGCTGCTCCCCAGCTGTAGCTTTTTGGCAGATGAAGGGGTGCAGTATGTCCTACATTTACCTCTTTAATGTGAAGGAAGTCCTTGGCGTCAAAGGAGATGGCTGTGCTGGGAACGGGCACATCCTCATCCAGGGCACCACAGTAGCTCACATTCGTTTTCACAGCAAATGCCACAGGTTTGGACTAGAGACAGAATGCAGAACGAGGAGGGAGGGAGAGGGGAGGAGAGAGAAGCATTTTTCATATTGAAACATGTCACAGGATGAATGATGGTTCCAGGCAATGAGGAAATCACTTTCCAAAGAGGGATGTCCGCTGGGTTTTATAGTGGCAGGCCACATCCAGAAAACTGCAGAGGTGACTCTGGGAATGACTCATTCCTCTCAGCCTAGCTATTTCCCTTCTGTGGTACTTTCCAACATCCCCAATAAAGAACTGGTCCCTAAAGGACTGGGGAGGGGTGGACAGAGGTGGGGGCCATCTGCTTTGTTCTCCACTCTTACAAACTATTTAGACAATAACAGATACTCTCCAACTGTGAGATACAGGGCATGCATACTGGGGCCTGGGGAGCGCTAGGAAGACAGCTTAGTTGATAAAGTGCTTGCTGCACACAGACAAGGGACTGAATTCAGATCCCCAGCGTCTGTGACAAAAGCTGGGGGCAAAGGTGTGTGTGCATCTTTAATCTCAGCGCTAGAGAGGCAGGGACAAGGGGATTCCTGGGCTTACTGGCCAGTCAGTCTAGCCAAATGGAGAACTCCATCTTCAATAAGAGACCCGTCTCAATAGTAAGTTGGAGATTAGTTAGGAAAACACATTAACCCCAGACCGCCACACACATGTACGTAATCATGCATATGCACACTCCTGGGTACACGCACATGAACAGGTCCATACATACAAGACAAACATGTGCTAGGAAATGTACACTGGGTGTTAAAAACTTGAGGAGTGGGGAAAATAAGGTTTTTTGAAAGAGCCTCTGATATGAAAACCTGAGATCTTTCGCAGCTGACTCTGTGGTCTTGCCAGGGAAAAGGGGGCCACTGCGGGTTAAACCTAACAAGCAGGCTCTTCACCTGTTATCTTCCTGGCTTCTAACAGTTGGTTTTAAAACTTGCATATAAACGCCTACTGGTCAAGCACTCCTGAGCAGGTGCAACCTGTGGGGGCTAAGCCAGCCACAAGCCTGGGCTATGGTGCTGCCATCACCATTTAGGTGATGACACAGTAATGAAACAGATGACGAAGAACTTTTTCAAAACAAGAACTAGCAACAAGGTCTCTAAGCTCCTGGGCAGCTTTGCTATCGGTTTATTTATTTGCATTGGGAATATCACCGGTTAAGGTAGGACCCCAATTCAACCCTCTTTGGTTCCCTCCAGGCACTATGCAGCTGCCCCTCTATCAGAGAGCACCGCACAGAGTGTGTGGGAGCCGATGCCTCATTCATCTGCACCATTCTTCTCTTGCTTCAGTCTCTAAGAGATTTCATCGTAAAATAAAAAAGGAGGAAATTAACTTTAATTGGGTTTGTGAGTCTAGAAGTCAGAATGGTCCCTGCCATAGGAGCTGGTCATGGAAGCAAGACAACAGGCTAGCCACGAACGCTGTCTTATATGTTGTTATTGTGCATGAAAATTATTTTGAAAAAAGGATCTGTGTTATTAAAAAATAAGTTAGACATAGGTAGGATGGGAGAACTCTAACAACTCCTCTGGTTCTAAAAATCCACCCTGCAATTGGTTTCATGCTGCACCCGTGTCTGCCGGACGAGGAGGAGCTGAAGCCCATCTTGACTGCTGATGGCTTCTGTCTTTGCTGCTCTTATTTGTGTAGTTCACCAGGTCTGATGGTGCACATCGGCAGGCATTGTATTAAGCCCACAAGTTCAAGACCAGAGTGGGCAATGCAATGGACCCCTTCACAAACAAGCAAGCAAACAAAGTGATCTTCTGAACTTCATACTGAACTCGAGGTGGGAATCTGAAATCTAGAATCCAAAGAATATAGGAAGCAGTGAAACGATCCACAGCACAATGGTGTCTGTTTGGTGTATAACAAAGACTAGGTAGTGACTGGAGGGATCAAGGACAGAGGATTCAGGCTAGCAGCTCAGAAGGCTCCCTGCCAATACTGGGTGAGGTCAGCAGCTAGACATTGCAACACTACAAGGTTGGGAAATGACTAAGCATTACCATTCTCAAACAGAGAAAGGCAAAGGTTCACAGGAAATGGGCACCTGCAGATCCCACTAACCTCTGTGAGGGGAATATACAACAGAGAATCTAGCAATCCAAAGCCTTATTAGGATGGCTGGAAAACAAATACTCCAAAGAGACACCATGCTGGCTAGTTTTACGTCAAGTTGACATAAACCAGAGTCATTTGAAAAGAGGGAATGCCATTTGTAAAAATGTTCCTACCAAATTAGCCTGTAGGCAAGCTTGTGGAACATTTTCCTGATAAATGATTGATTAGTGTAGAAGGGCTCAGCCCACTGTGGGCAGTCTCACCCCTAGGCAGGTGGTCCCGATGGTATCAGAAAGTAGGCTAAGCACAGAGAGCAAGCCAGTAAGCAGAATTCCTCCATATCTTCAGTTCCTGCCTTCAAGTTCTTGCCCTGCCTGAGTTCCTGCTACTTTCCCTCAGTGATTGTCACCAGGGAGTTGTAAGCTGACGAACCCTTTCTTCCCCACATTGCTTTTGGTCAGTATTTACCAGAAACCCTAAAGCAGATGTGAGGTCGGATGCTGAGCGGTATGCCAGTTTTCAACAAAAGAAAGAGTGGGGAAGTCACCTTCGCTCTCTCAAGCTGGATAGCCGCTTGCTGTTCTCTCTCTTGCCGAATCGCTTCCCGGTCCTCTTCCAGAGAGACATCGGAATCCGATGGCCTGCTTGTATAGGAATCTGCTGAACCCTGGAGAAAGAGCATGGAAGGCTCACGTGAGGTGAAGTGTAGCTTCTTATGTTTTCACTGTCAGAACAGAATCCTGGGCGAGTGAGTTCCTTTCATTGGCATAGAATTCAATGCACACCCACAGCCTTAAAGCAGACATAGCCAGGCATCTCTGCTGTGTGGAAGGTAGCAAGGTTGTGAAGGGAAATATGTTGACTAGATTAGGATTAGGAAGGAAACTGCAATGAGAACATCGTGACAATTGTTCATGGAACTGAAGTTGTCTCCCATTCTCTCTTGTATATGCTAAGCAGCTAAGTGACAAGGGAAATTTGGGCTGTTTATAAGGACTAAATCTTACCTGTGTCTTGATGTCATCAATTTGTCTAGACTTCAACACAGCCATGCTACATTAGTAAAATGATATTCTAGTTTCAACTCTTTCATCATCATTCAAATAATGTTCTACAGCAGCCCATTTGTGGGGTTAATGTGTACACTGATCAGAAAACACTCTGTGAATGAAAATATGGATGTCCAAAAGCAAAGTCCATACCCGGGATGCTCTCTAATCAGCAACACCACCCAGTCTGCCTGACATCCCCAAAGGACTGGGGAATGACCAAGGTCACTCAGTGATCATGCAAGAAGGACAAATGAACACTGAGGGATCTGATTTAAAAGTTGTTCACTTTGCCACACAAAACAAAATAAAACAAACTAACCCCCAAAACAACAAAAATCCCCCACAATCCAACTGTGAAGACTTTATGTCCAACAGGAACATCAACCCACCATTTCCTTAAGCTGGCATCAGAAGATGGTATTTGCATATATGGTAACATTTGCGCAGCAGAGGCACTGAGAAAACTGGTTATTTGTTTGGCATGGTTAATAAAACACACTCAGCCAGTTTTGAAAACCATAGATCTAGCCTCTCAGTAGAGAGCATGCTATCTACTACACACATGTAAAAACAAAATAAGACAAGAGGTAGGTTAGTGGCACAGGTATGTAATTCCAGGCCTGCCTGGGCTACACAGTGCATTCAAAGCCAGCTTGAATAACTTAGTAAGACCCTGACTCAAAATAAGAAGTAAAATAGAAGGCTGGGGTTATAGCTCAGTAGGAAAGCCTTTGTCTAACATGTGTAAGGCTCTGGATTCAATTCCCAGTCATAGTTAGTTTCACACACACACACACACACACACACACACACAAAGAGAGAGAGAGAAACAGAGAGAGAGAGAGAGAGACAGAGAGATAGAGACAGCCTGAGGATCTTGGCTGCAGACATGAGGGAAAAGGCCAGGAAAGACTTCAGGACAGGTGAAGTATATGGGGATCCCTCAACATGGGAACAGCTCTGAGACTGGATGATACAGGATAAATCTTGTTGGTTACAGAGTCCTCATGACTTATTATTACATGCCATCTTTTTTTTGTTGTTGTTGTTTTGTTTTGTTTGTTTGTTTTTTAGAGACAGGGTTTCTCTGTGGTTTTGGAGGCTGCCCTGGAACTCTCTCAGTAGACCAGGCTTGGTCTCGAACTCACAGAGATCCGCCTGCCTCTGCCTCCCGAGTGCTGGGATTAAAGGCATGCGCCACCACCATCCGACCATGCCATCCTTTCATATGGCATGGATGGAGATTTACATTACATTTTGCCATCCAAACGGATTTATAAAGTTGACAGGTGCTTTTTATCTGCTCAAACATAAGGCAGAAAATCATCTTTAGCTGATTTGTACACACCACACATTCTATACTTGTGTTAATGCAGATATGTTACCTTTAAAAGTGTGAGTTTTCAAAAATAAAAAGGACCAGACACCAATAAAGACAAGTAGCCCATGTGATCCAACCTCACAAAATTCCAAACTCTATCCAGAACAACTTCAAAGCTGCTAGCTGAGATGCTCCAGCCTCACAAACTACACCAGCCAAGACTTCAGATAACCTCTACATTTTCCCATCACACAGGGGCTAAACAAAAAATATACAGTTAGCTCTCCCAGGACTTTGTCCATTATCCCAATTTTCTCAGGGTTCCCTAAAGATGTCATCACCCCCAGACAACAGGAAGCACTGTAGAGAACATGACACCCACATATCCAAGATGTAGAGTGGGTAGCTTCTGGTAATTTGCTGGCTTATAAATATTTGTTGTCATTAAGGGGGTTGGTTATAAGTTGTTACTGGTCATGGTTAGGGAAAAAACTAAACAAAGGAGGTTAGATTCAGGAATCTCTTTCGAAAAGAAAATAGGGGAGATACAAGAAGAGGATAAAAGGGTAGATTATTGAATTTACTTTTAAACTAAAAAAATAACTATTAATCTCAAATATTTTCCATTGGTATGGATTTTTGTATATTGATACCAATTTAAGGTTATTTTTGTTATACTGTATATGTTTTTACTCTTGTTTAAGGTACTGTACCTATGCAGTTCATTTAACAATGCAATGTAAAGTTCTAGTTCTTGAAAGCTATTTTTACAAACTGTTTAGGATAATTAAGATAACAATCAAACTTCTAGTAAGCATTATGTGTAGACAGAAATAAACCCTATTTAGCCTCATGTATTTTAGGTAGAGAGGTGGTTTCAAATACTTCAGAGATCTACAGAATATGGCATTTAGGATACTGTAATAACATAAGGCTTTTCATGATAGTGAGACACATCTGCTCCTGGCAGCACTAATCAAATTTAGAAAAGATGGTGGATGTTGAAGAACCTCCATATGGAGTTTGCTTTCTTTGTGGCAAAATTAGTCACTGGGCAAGAAACTTCCCGTGCCTTGGCTGCTGACAGTAAGCTGTCCATATTGGACAAGCAGAACACAAAAGAAGGCGACTGCTGAACTTTGCCACGACAAGGTAGACCAGTCCTTCAGATTGCCTGCTTCACAGAAAAGTCTGACAGATATTCTAGGCCTGTAGGCTAAAGATGGATACCCTAAGATTACAGAGGAACCTTGGTTGACTGTTTAGGCATACAGATAGCTCTGTCATTTCTATAATTTGGAGAGTTGTTTGCTCTGTACTTCCTGTTTACTCAGGTAATATTTTAACCTTCTCAGGTCTCTGATGGGGTTGAAGACTAGATAGTAACAACATTTTCTTCATCACCAAATTCCCAAAAATGAAACTTAAAGAGAGATGTAAAGTGTATAAAGTCAAGGACATAAGAGTTTAAGTTGTTTATCTAAGGAAATGTTTCTGAGGTCTAAAAAGATATTTTTATGATGGTAATACAAATTATGATAGAAAGTGAATGAGATACAAAACTTTACACTCACCAAGGTAGGATAGAAAATAGAGTATTTCTCCAAAATTGCCAAATACAAATGGACTGGACACTGTGAATGTAATTCTTACCTGATATTTGTTCTTATTGTTTATAGCTTTACTGTGTTGGAGTTAAAACTTTTCCTTTTTATTTAGACAAAAGGGGGAAATGTTGTGAGAAAATCTTTTTGTACACTGTAAAGATGCCTCTCTGCCTAAGGCACCTTCTGATTAGTTTAATAAAAAGCTGAACGGCCAATAGGTAGGCAGAAGAAGATAATCAGGACTTCCAGATAGAGAGAGGAACTGGGAGGAGGAATCCAGGTACTTGACTTTCACTAGCAGACTCAGAGCAGGTTAGCAATACTGTACTGAAGTAGAGTCATATGGCAGAGTGTAGATTAAAAATATGGATTAATTAATTTATAGGAGCTATTTGGAAGCAAGCCCAACCTAAAGGTCAAGCTTTCATAATTATTATAAATCCCCATGCCATTATTTGGGAGTTTGCAGTACAGAGAAAGCTTTGCTATAGGTAGAGGTTCCTTCAGAGAACCTAGTGAGTCCAGGTTCTACATACTGCCTCTATACTGGGCTTCCTAGTTCCCAGGTTACTCTGAACCACTCTCCTCCTCTGCAAGAGGACATATTATCTGTTTCATAGTATAAAATACAGAAAGACACATTGGACAGCCCTCCCTCCCTGAGTGTTCTCTATTACAAGGGTATGGGGTTAGATGACTGAAACTTTTCATTTAACATCAGACTCAGCAAGTGCAAGGCCAAGACTTAGCTATGCTTAATATTAAAATGCTACAAGACCCACCACATAATAAAAGCACAATAAATTAGCTTTCTTGTTTCCATTTACTACTGCTGGCCCAGGTCTATGTTGATTTTTAAAAAAAAGTATTAAAATACAATAATTTTTCAATTCACATACATGTAAAGTAGCTTGTGTGAAATGTGGCCATTTTTCTTATTGTAGCTATTCTAAAGCAAATGCACTATGATAAATGCTATGTGTCCAAATCCACGTGCTTACACAGTACTTTTCAAAGTGCCCTTCATAGAGGAAATGCATTTGTTAACCAATTCATAATTAAATTCCTCAGTGAAAATCTACTGGGGGGGATATGGAGCCACAAAAGGGATAAAAAGCAGGGTGACTTTGAGCCTCTGTCTAAAAAGAGGGCTACCTTGAAATCCTTCAAAACAGAGTTCTGTCCGAACACCAGCTTCCCAAATTTATGTACACATTTATAAAATCCAGACTGAGAATGAGAGACAGAGAGAAAAAACACTTTTAAAATATCAATGAATGAAGACAGTTTGTGTAGAGCTGTGGGGTGACCCATCCTGAGGTGTTGTGTTGCATGGGCTACACTGAGGCTGCATGGACCACAAAGTAACTAGAAAGTTTGCCGGGGAAGGGGGGACCCTGTGTTATTGGTGCTTATGTGCTGACGAAGGCAGTGCTCAAGATAACAGGTTGCCCTCAGGAGCAGAGGTGAGAACAATCTACCCTCATCACCCGGAGATGCTTTTGTCTTGAGACTACCTTAATGACTCTTAAATCCTGCCATTCAGTCATTTCTGAGCATAAAAAAAGTAACTCAAAGACTCCTGTTCATATTTCCAAATGTCATGAACTAGAGTGTAAACACCCCAGAATGAAATAAGTTCGATACTGCCAAATACGTGGAGGCTTCTGTTTACTTCTATGTGGGC